AGAAGGGAATTAAGAGGGAAAAGTTAGAGACCAAGCAGTGGGGGCATAAAACAAAGACAGAGATCCTAGACAAGCTGGGGAACGGGAGTATGTGTTCGACCCCAAAGAGGAAGGCTAATCCTGGAAAAGGGCTGACCCCTTCTCCTGTGTGGCAGTACCAGGGTTCAGAGAGCTAAGGAATTTCACATAGAAACCTTCCCTGGAGAACACAACTCTGGACAATCTGCAGATCATCCCCAGTTATATTTGTTCTTAGAAATATTTCTAGATACTGACATAAGAGACTGCAGGCCTTCCATTCCTCCAGAGAACCATGCCTTTGGACTACTATGGTTTTGTCTGTTTTCTCTGAGACCTCCTTTGGCATTAAAGTAGGCAAAGTAATTGAAGCTGTATGAAAGAACCCAAGAGAAATCAAACAATGGAAAAATTCAAAAGCCAAACTGCAAACTCACTGGGTGATCTCAACAGATTAGATATGAGAGGGAAATCAGTGAGCTCACACAAAGACAAACTGAAATCAATTAGTCTGTGCAACAAAAAATAGATTGGAGGGAAAATACAGATGGGAGCCAGATGGAGCTGAAAAACAAAAACAAGAGATTTACCTCATGTTACTGAAGTCCCTGAAAGGGAGGAGAAAGTGTGGGGCTGAAAAAACTATTTGAAGAATTAATAATTAATACATTCCCAAATTTGGCAAAGGGCCTAAATCAACAGATTAAAAAAGCTAACCAAAGAGGATTAACCCCTTCTAAATTTCCTGCCAGGTTATACTCTACTCAAACTTCTGAACTTTGTATAAAAAGAAGACAACACTCCGAAAGCAGCCTTATAGGATGCATCACTAATAGGAAACAACAGATCAAATGGCAGCAGATTTCTCATATGAAACCCAGGAAGGCTAATTCCGAAATCTTATATCCCACAATGATATCGTTTAAGAATGAAGGGGACATAAAAAAAGAAAGAATGAAGGGGCATAGAGACATTTTTAAATGAGAAACAAAACTTTTTTACCAGAAAGACCTACCCTAGAAGAGTATAGGAGTCAGTGAAAAAGAAAGGAAATGTTAAGGGGAGAAACCTTGGGACTTTAAGAAGAAAAAACAAACAATGGAATGCATAAAAGTAAAGGTGAACAGACTATACTTCTCATGAGTTTTATAAAAATTGTTCAAAAGGTGAAGCAAAAGAAACCAAATCACCAAATGCAGTGCTTGGTGTATGAACAGAAAATAATTACATTAATGTATGGAGAATGTAAAGGGACCCAATGAAAGTAAGGTTTCTAAGTGCTAAAATGTTGATGGAGGTTGTGATAAGTTATGTATGTATAATACAACACCTAGAGTAATCACTAAAATACAAAGAAACATACACAAAAACATCATAGATATAACAAATGGAATACTAAAAACTAAAGTAACCCACAGGAAGCCAAAACAGAAATAGGAGAACAATAAATAGGGAACAAAAACAAAAATCATGAAATGGCAGACTTAAGCCCTAACATATCATAAATAATTTTAAGTGGTCTAAATAAAAAAATTTAAAACCAGAAATTGGTAAAATGGATAAACAGAAAGCACGACCCAAGTATATATGCTATTCACAGAAACTTATTTCAAATGTAATGATATAGATAAGGTTGAAAATGAAATTATGGAAAAATATAAACCATGCAAATAATAATGAAAAAAATGCAATAGTGACTATATTAACATCAGATAAAGTATAATTCAAAGCAAAGAAAATTTACAGGGCAAAAAGTGACATTAAAGAATGATGAAAGGGTCAATAGACCAAGATGGCATAGTGATCCTAAATATGTATGCACCAAACAACAGAGCTTTGAAATATGTGAAGCAAAAATTGATAGAACATAAAGGAGGAAAAGACAATTCCACAATTATATACCGCAGGACTTCAATAGCCATCTTTCAGCTATTGATAGAAATACAACACAGAAAATCAACAAGGGTACAGAAAATCTGAATAACAACATCAACCAACAGCACTGTGCTCACATCTATAGAAACCCCATTCAACAACAGTAGAACATATTTTTTTTCAAGCAGCCTTATACAAGATTCATCAAGACAGACTATATCATGGATAATAAAACAAACCACAACAAATTTAAACAGCTGGATGAAACATACAACAAACTAGAAACAAATAATAAAAAGAGGGCATGAAATATGCCAGACTGGTTTAGAGAGGCAGTCATGAATGAAGAAACATTTAGAACTGAATGAAATGTAATTAAAACATATCAAAACTTGTGAGATGAAGCTAAAACAGTGCCTTGCTTGAGGAAGAATTATACAATTTAATGCTTGTGTTAGAAAAGAAAATCTCAAGTCAATAATCTAAGCACCCCCCTCTAGAAACTACAGAGGAAAAGACAACCAAATCAAGTAGAAAAAAAAAGAATATAATAAAGATCAGAAAATCAGTGTAATTAGGAACAGAAAGACAATGGAACAAAAACTGATATAAAGTGCTAGTTCTTCAAAATGATCAAAGCATTGATAAATACTAACAAGACTGACAAAGATAAAAAGAGTTAAAACATTTCCAATATCAGGAATAAAACAGGGTACATAAACAAATTCTGCTGCCATCAAAAGAATAATAAAGGAATACTTAAAGCAAATGAGAAAATTTAGGTGAAATGGTATAATTTCTAGGAAAAAACAATGAAAATTCATCCAATATGAAATAGATACTCTCAATAGTTCTATCCATATTAAATAAAATAAATACATAATTAAAAACATCCAAAAGGATACCTCCAGGACTAAATGGTTCACTGGAGAATGCTACCAAACATTAAAAAAACAAAACCAATTCTACATATTGTCTTCTAAACAATAGAAGAAACAACTCTCAACACATGTTGGGAGAGGCCAGTATCAAACAGACATCAAAATCTGACATTGACAGTACAAAACCAGCAAACAAACAAAATGAAAGAATGAAATTAAGATAAAAAAACCCTAAATATTATCTTTCATGAAAATAAAGGAAAAATTCCTCAATAAAAATACTAGAATATTGAATACTGCAATATATAAAATAATTATACTCTATAACCAGGTGGAGCTTATTCCAAGCATACATACAATATTAAAAACATATCAATAGGCTACAGAAAAATAAAAAAGGCCGTATTGACTGACAGAGAAAAAGCATTTGACAAATCTCAACACCAATTCAAACTAACAAAAAAACTCAGCAAATTAGGAATATGGGAAACCTTCTAAACTTGGTAAGAAAACTTTATGAAGAAAACCTTAAGACTAACAACGTATTAATGATGAAAAACTGAATGTTTTCCCCTAATACCAGGAACCAGGTAAGGATATCTGTCTCACAACTCCTATTCAACATTATATTGGAAATCCTAACTAGTGCAATAAGACAAGGAAAAAAAAGATATACAGATCAAAAGAAATAAAACTATTTGCAAATTATACTTCTACAATAAAATCTCAAGCATTCTATCAAAATAAATGGTTATAGTTCAGCAAATCTGCAGGATGCCAAAAATAACATCCAAAACCCATTATATTTGTATACTACCAAAAATTTACAAAAATTGTACAAGAATGGTTATTGAAACTTATAAAAAGTAATGAAATGATACTTAAATGTAGAGACATACCATCTTATATAAATGGAAGACCCAACAAAATAAAGATGCCTATTCTCAACAAATTGATCTGCCAATTTAACTCAATTTCTATCAAAATTTGATAAAGATTTTTTTGGTTAAAAAAAAAGTCAAGCATATCTAAAATTCAAAGTAACTTGGAGTGATAAATAAGTTTTAAATAAAAAAATATGCACAGAATAATCACTTTACCCAATTAAAAATTTACATATAACTACAGCAATCAAGTAAACCAACAGTACAGGACCAAGAATATGCTGAAGTATTAGGTCTTTAAAACCACATGGTGGAGCCCTGGCTGGTGTAGCTCAGTGGATTGAGTGAGCGTGGGCTGCGAATCAAACTGTCGCACGTTCGATTCCCAGCCAGGGCACATGCCAGGGTTGCAGGCCACGGCCCCAAGCAACCACACATTGATGTTTTTCTCTCTCTCTCTTTCTCCCTCCCCTCCCTCTCTAAAAATAAATAAATAAAATCTTTAAAAAAAAGAAAAAAAGAAAACAACTAATGAATTAAAAAAAAAACACATGGTGAAAAGACTTGTTTTTTAAAAATCAAAGCCTTAAACAATGTGAACTGGTGCAATAAAATGTGACCCTTCATATGTGTACTCTTACCTCACATAGAAGGGTATTTGATGATTCATGCCTCCATATTTCTCACAAAAAAATTAAGCTCCTTAAGAGTAGAGACAATGTTTTAGAACAAAGATGTTCAATGAATGTTTCCAGACCTGCCTTCATTGTCAACCTCTCTGGACACTAGACATCAATGAATATATGTATAAGACACATAAAGAACCTAGGTCCTTTACCTTGGAAACAAAATTCTCCTCCTAACAACCAAACTAAGAAACCTATGACAAAGTGTCATAGGTATGGCAAGGAGTCTGAAAGAAACTGGTTGTAGTTCATTTCCTCTTCTAAGTCTCTCCCTTCTTTTTAGAGAAAAAAAATTCCTGAGATAACACTGCAGTGTAAACTAAGAAGATACAGCTGAAGGTTTTCTAAGTGCCTAATAATGACTGGGTCTCTCTCCTGGATGAATTCTCAGATGCAGAATAAGGCTCTAGGTAGGGTCATTTTTCAGTATAACTCATTAGATGACAACTGGTATTTTGTAATAAGTTTTCTCACAGGGAAGAATATTGTGGGCCTTTTCTTTGGTATGAATGATTAGATTCTGAGTAAGATGTTTCTTCTGGCAAAACATTTTCCACAGTGTTTACATTCAAAAAGTCTTTCCCCAACAGGAGTTCTTGGAGATTGACTGAGGATTGTGCACTTGTAAAGGGTCTTCCCACTTCTGTTTCACTGACAGGGTTTCTCCCAGTATGAACCCTTTGATGCTGACTGAGGGATGAGCTACGACTAAATGCCTTTCCACACTCACTGCATTCATAGGGCTTCTCTCCAGTGTGGATGATGGAGTGTCGAATGAGGTTAGTGCTCCAGCAGAAGGTTTTCCCACACTCCATGCACTCATAGGGCTTCTCTCCACTGTGAATCCGCTGGTGCCGTGTGAGGCCTGACCTGCGGTTAAAGGCCTTCCCACACTCACTGCACTCATAGGGCTTCTCTCCAGTGTGGATGCTGAAATGTCGAATGAGGTCTGCCCGATTGCTAAAGGCTTTCCCACATTCTTTACACTCAAAAGGTTTCTCTCCAGTGTGGGCCCTCTTATGCAAGATAAAAGTGGAGCAGTGGGTGAAGGCCTTTCCACACTCACCACAAACATACGGCTTCTCTCCAGTGTGGATGCGCTGGTGCCTCTTGAGGTATGACCTGTGGTTGAAGGCCTTTCCACATTCCAGGCACTCAAAGGGCTTCTCCCCAGTATGGATGACATAGTGGTGAATGAGGGCTGCACTCTCACAGAAGGCCTTCCCACACTCACTGCACTCATAGGGCTTCTCCCCTGTGTGAGTCTGCTGGTGCCACATGAGGTATGACCTGTGTTTGAAGACCTTGCCACACTCGAAGCACTCATAGGGATTCTCACCACTGTGGATGATGTAGTGTCGAATGAAACCTGGCCTATCTCGGAAGGCTTTTCCACATTCTTTGCAAACAAAGGGTTTTTCTCCAGTATGGCTCCTGTTATGCAAGACAAAAGTGGAGCGATGGGTGAAGGCCTTTCCACATTCAGTGCATTTATAGGGCTTCTCACCACTGTGAATCCGCTGGTGTTGGGTAAGGTGTGACTTGCGGTTGAAGGCCTTGCCACACTCCATGCACTTATATGGCTTCTCCCCTGTGTGGACCATGTGGTGTTGAAGGAGGTAAGTGCTCTTACTAAATGTTTTCCCACACTCTGTGCATTCATAGGGCTTCACTCCAGAGTGAATTCTCTCATGTCGAGCAAGGAGGCGTTTCTTGTTAAACACTTTCCCACATTCATTGCATTTAAAGATATTTTCCTCTTCCTGAACCATGGGATGTTTATCAAATTCATGTGAGTCACGGTCAAGTAGAGCACCTCCTGGAGAAACTGCCTGCTGCACAATTCTTGAACATACATCATCAGCTGTCCCTAAGCCACCATGTTCAGAGCTTTGTTTCCTAGGAAGCCTCTCCTTCTGTGGATCTGTATCTGATTGCAACTGTCCTTCTTCCAATTCCAATGGCCCATTCTGATCCTTGTCATGGTCCACCTGGAAGTCTTCTGGTGATTCAGCTCCTTGTCCTAGTTCCCGAAGTGAGGCTCTCTCAGACACGGCAGTTTCAAAAGTAGTAGATTCTGTGATCTTGGGTTTTCCTTTCTCACCTTAAAGAAATCCAATACATAGGGCCTGTTAGTAATGCCAAATTGAAAAAAAAATGCATTTCAGTGATTTAAAAAAGGGCAAAAGTAGTGCTTGTGTCTCTGTTACATTTTGTTACCTCTGAATACCAAGATTAAAATATCTTCCTTTCCTTTTTAAAGATTTTATTTATTTATTTTTAGACAGGGGAAGAGAGGGAGAGAAACATCAATGTTTGGTTATCTCTTGCACAGCCCTGACTGGGGACCTGGTCCTCCACCCAGTTATGTGCCCTGATTGGGAATCAAACCAGCAACTGTTTGGTTTGCAGGCCGGCACTCTATCCACTACGCCACACCAGCCAAGGCAAATTTTCTTTCTTTGCTAGTCCTTGGACCACTGACACCTTGAATGGGAGACCTAGGGAAGTAGCTAGATTAATAGAAGAAGTGCTGGAGAAGAGACACAGTCAATTTCAGATTGGGTATTTATGCAGATAGGTAACTCATCTGGGCCCCTACATAGTTTATGCTGAAGAGATCACTATGTTCAAGGCCTATCCACACTTGAAAGACTAACCATATGATTACAGTGTTATGGCACTGAGCTGTGTAACTGGGCTTCTGGAAAAAAATGGAAGGAGGGCAGAAGACTAGTCATGTAGGTAATTAGTCAATCAACAGTGTTTATAAAATTGGAGCTGATAAAACTCTGAAGCTTGATGCCAGGTGAAATTCTTAAATTGGAAATATTTCATGCATGTATTGTCAACATCCGTGCAAGGAGTTTAATGAGTCCCTGAGGACATGGTTCATGTTTGGAACTCTCCAAAAACTCTGAAAAACATCTGATACAGATCTACTGGACAAAGATTTTTTTAAAACCATCTTAAGGAAGTTCAAAGAGCTGAAGGAAGATATGAAGTAAAAATAATGATGTATAAACAAAATGGAAATATCAATAAAGAGGTAGAAAACCTAAAAAAAAATTCTGAAAAAGTACAATAAGTGAAATGAGAAAAAAATTACAAGAGGGACACAAAGAAAACTCTGAGTAAGAAGAAGAAGAAATCAGCAAACTTGAAGACAAGAGAATGAAAATGATCACATCTGAGGAACAGAAAAGAGACTGAAGAGTCCTGACTGGTGTGGCTCAGGAGGTTGAAGGTCACCCCACAAACCATAAGGTCACAGGTTCGATTCCCAGTCAGGTCACATACCTGGGCTGCAGGCCAGGTCCCCAACTGGGGGCATGTGAGGGGCCACTGATCAATGTCTCTCGTACATTGATGTTTTTCTCCCTCTCTTTCTCCCTCCCTTCTGCTCTCTTTAAAAACAAAATCTTTAACAATGACAACCAAAAAAACGATTGAAGTGACCAGAGCTTAACAGACCTGTGACACACCATCAAGAGAACTGGGATGAGAACTCATGATGGGATTCCCAGAAGAGAGAAAAGTTATGAGAGAATACTTGAAGAAAGGGCTTAAAACTTCCAAAATTTTAATAAAGGTATCAATATAAACATCCAAGAATCTCAAATGAACTCCAAGAAAAATAAATTCAAATAGCCTCACTTTAAGAAAAATTATAATTAAATGTTTGAATACCAAAAATAAAGAGAGTATCTTGATAGCATGCATGAAACAAACAACTCTTCACATAGAAGGAATCTTCGATAAATTTATCAGCAAAGTTCTGGTCAGAAACTTGAGAGATCAGAAGGGAGTGGGTGAATATATTCAAGTGTATAAGAAAACAACTGTCAACCAAGAATCATGCACCTGGCAAAACTGTCCTTTAAGAGCGAGGGAAAAATTAAAACATTCCCATAGATAAAAGTTGAGGGAGCCCAGGCTGCTGTGGTTCAATTGGTTGGAGTGTCATCCCATACACCAAAAGGTTGGGAGCTGTTGATTCCTGGTCAGGCACATGCTTAGGTTGCAGGCTCAATCTCCAGTTAGAGTGTGTATGGGAGACAACCAATCAGTGTTTCTCTCTCACACTGATGTTTCTGTCACTCTCCCTCCCCCTTCCTCTTTCTAAAATGAATAAACATATTGAAAAAAAAAGCTGACAGTGATTGTTACCACTAGAATTGCCTTGCAAGAAATTCTCATGGAAGACTTGCGGGGTGAAAATGAAAGGCCACTAAACAGGAACTCAAAGCCATACAAAGATAAATACATAGGCAGTTATAAAAGCTAGCATTGTGCCCTGGCTGGCGTGGCTCAGTGGATTGAGTGCGGGTTGCAAACCAGGGCATCGTAGGTTCTATTCCCAGTCAGGGTGCATGTCTGGGTTGCGGGCCATGGCCCCCAGCAACCGCGCATTGATGTTTCTCTCTCCCTCCTTCTCCCTCCCTTCCCTCTCTAGGGATAGATAAATAAAATCTTAAAAAAAAAAAAGCTAGCATTGTAAAACTGATTTTTAACTCCACTTTTTGTTTTCTACATGATTTAGAAGATTTTCTTTTTACATTTTTAAATCTAAAAGCTAGTATTATTGTAACATCATAACCCCGTATCTAGTTTCCTACATAAAGAGACTACTGCATTTAAAGGAGTTATTAGTTTAAGATTTTTGGCATACAATAAAGATGTAATTTTGTGACTTGAACAACTGAAAGGAGTGAGAAAAGAGCTGTAAAGGAGTATTGTTTTATGTTACTGAAGTTTAGTTGGTATAAAAGCAAATCAGTGTTGCAACTTTAAGACATGAAATGTAATCTCACCAAGAAAATAGCAATAGGAGACTATAAGCAAAAAGAAATGAGAAAAGAATTTAAATGTTTTATTACAAAAAAACACAACTAAACATAAGAGAAAAGAATAATTCAGGAAATGAGAGACAAAAAAGCTATCATGCATGCAGAAAACAAATATTAAGATGACAGAAGTCTCTCCATATCAGTAACTACTTTAAATGTACACCAATTGAACTTTCCAATTGAAATGCAGAGATTGGCTGAATTGATAAAAATTCATGATCCAAGTAGATGCTATCTACAAGAGACTCACTTTATATCCAAAGACACAAAAAGAGTGAAAGTAAGAGGATGTAAAAAGATATTCCATGCAAATACTAACCAACAGAGAGCAGTGGTAGTTGTATTAACATCAGCCAAAAATAGATGATAAATCAAAAGAGATAACAGGACACAATGAAGGAGATTCTATACCCAAAAGGATTTGTTCTGAGAAATGCATCATTAGGCCATTTAGTCATTGTACAAAAACATGTACTTACACAAACCTAGAAGTTATAGCCTATTTTATTTGCACCTAGGCTACACGGTATAGCAGATTACTCCTAGGCTTCAAGCCTATACAGCATGTTACTATACTGAATACTGTAGGCAATTTTAATACAATGGTAAGTATGTACCTAAACATATCTAAAAATAAAAAAGGTACAGTATAAATGATTAAACTGAGATTACAATCTTATGAGATCACCATTGTATATACAGTCTACCATTGACCAAAATGTTATGTGGAACATGACTGTACTGATAAAAGGTATAATACAACAAAAAGACATAATTGTAAATATGTATTTAAGGAAAGCAAATCAAAATATATAAATCAAAAACTGCCAGAATTGAAGGGAGAAAGAAACTTCTACAATAATAGATGAAGACTTCAATACCCCATTCTCAATAATAGAACTGGACAAAAGATAAGAAAAAAAATAAAAGGCTTACCATAGTAAACCAACTTAAGCAAACAGGCATAACATTCTACCTAACAACAATAGCATACACATTGTTCTCAGGTGTGCATGGGACATTTTTCAGGGTGGACCACATCTTAGGCCACAGATTAAGTCTCAACAAATTTCTGTTATTTATTTTTAACTGTCGACACTATTACAGATGTGCTTTATTTTCCCTGTTCCACCAAGCCCCCAACTCCCAGTCTCAATAAATTTAAAAAGATATACAAATATAACCTGTTTCTAATGAAAACAAAAACACACCAAAACTTGCAGGGTGCAGTGAAAATAGTGGTAAGAGGTAAATTTATCACTACATATGCTTACATTAAAAAGAAACAACTCAAATCAACAATCTAACTTCACAATTTAGAGAAGTAGGAAAAGAACAAACTAAGCTCATTAGCAGAAGGAAGGCAATAATGAATATTAAATATAATGATATGGAGAATAGAAAAATAGAGAAAATTAAAAAACAAGCCCTATTTGCAGCTCAGTTGATTAGAGGGTCCTGTACACCAAGGTTGCGGGTTCCATTCCCGCTCAGGTTGCACACAAGAATCAACCAATGAATGCATAAGTAGGTGGAACAAGAGATTGGTGTTTCTCTCTCTCTAAAATAAAAAAAATCAATTAAAAAACTGTTTTAAAAGCCAAAAAGTTGGTCTTTGACCAGATCAACAAATGGACAAAATTTTAGCCAGATTAACTAACAAAAAAAAAAGAAAAAATTCGAAAACTAAAATGAGAAATGAAAGTAGAGACAGTCCTGTCAATTCTACTTCTTCAGAAATAAAATAACAATAATAATAATAATAATGATAAGTGTAACAGAGTACTATGAACAAGTGTACATCAACAAATAAGCCTAGATAACATGGAAAAATTCCTAGAAACATAAAACCTACCAAGACTAACTCATGAAGAAATACAAATCTGAATAGACCTATAATTGGAAAGGAGATTGAATTATTAATCAAAAATCTCCCGCCCTGGCTAATGTAGTTCAGTGGATTGATTGCCGAAGGGTCACCAGTTTGATTCCCAGTTAGGGCACATGACTGGGTTGCAGGCCAGGTCCCCAGTTTGGGGGTGTATGAGAAGGAACCACACACTGATGTTTTTCTCCCTCTCTTTCTCCTTCCCTTCCTCTCTTTCTAAAAATTAATAAATAAAATCTTGAAAAAAAATCTCTCAACAATATAAAACCTTGGACCTGATGGCTTCACTTGCAAATTATACCAAATTTTTTTAAAGAATACCAGTTCTCCTCAAATCCTTCCAAAAAACTGAAGCATAAAAACACTTCTAAACTCGCTCAGAGGCCAGCATTATCATGATACCAAAGCCAAAGCACTACAGGAAAACAAAGCTACAGGCCAATATCCCTCATGAACACTGATGCAAAAATCCTCAACTATGCAGCAGCAAACTGAAGCCTGTAGCATAAAGAGTCTCCCCAAATCCATGGCCAGTGTTTCCTGAAGGTCTCCAGGCTGCAGGGTCTTCTGTTTGCCCCCATCTTGGCTCCTACCTGGATAAGTGCTTTGGGACAGATCCTTCTTCGCCATCTGCAGCTCCTGCCCATATTCTAGCTGGTGGATCAGCTCATGTCTGGGAACATGATACCCTGTTCACGGAGAAAAATGAGGACATGAGGATTTTTGTGAAAAGAAATAAAATCTCTCAGTCTAGTCTGGGCCTTGAGGATGTGGACAAGACCTCAGAATGAAGCCACTCCCATCCACACAAACAAAAAATGACATGTGACCTGGAATCAAAGATAGGTCATACTGACATGGAGTTTTTAATCCTCAGTCAAAAACTTAGTATGTAAAGAGTTAAAGGATTGTGACAGGGAACTTAAATGCATTATATTGTTCCAAAAGTAAAATGAATTTATGGAGTAATTTAAACAACTGACATTTAAAATATTGGCTTTCTTCTTTCAAAAAACAAAAGATTTATTTATTTTCAGAGAGAAAGGAAGAGAGGGAGAGAACAGGGAGGAAAACAGTGATCAGCTGCCTCTTGCATGTGTCCCAACTGTGCACCAGACCCGCAACCCGGGCATGTACCCAGACTGGAATCGAACTGGTGACCTTTCACTTTGCTGGATGATGCTCAACCAGCTAAGCCACACCTGTAAGGGCTTGACTCTTCATTCATAACAAGGTATGTGCAGGGGGAGGGGGTAGGTGGAGGTGGAAGAGGGTATGGGGGGATAAATGGTAATGGAAAAAAATACAATGAAAAAATAAGCAAAAACAACAAAAAAAGAAAATAAAGTATGTGTTTTCACTGATCTAGGTCTTTTTTAGACCCTAAGTTTTATATGATTCTGCTATAGACCAGAGGCAAAATAAGGATTCTCTCTCAGGATTTCCTCATAGCATCCCCAGAAGTATGTGCTATAATCAGCACTGTTTTATAGATGAAGAACCCAAGTCTCCATCAGATAATATGATTTGCCAAAGACATGAGAAGTGGAGAATGGTGGAACCAATATGGAAACCCAAGTCTAACCTTCTTTCTCTGCTGTCTGTGCTGTGTTACCACAAAGCTAGAGGACTCTGCTCCAGAAGGTGCTGAGTCCAGACCTGAGGACGATGAGAATCTCAATAAGTGTACAACACTAGTGATAGCAGCAGGGTCTTCAACTGCTAACTTGCATATAATCTGCTCACACCAGGCACTGCTCTGAGCCTTTTCCCTAAGTCACCCATTTAGCCTTGCCACACTCCTAAGGAGTGGATACATTACCCCATTTTACCAACGAGCACATTAAGGCACACACAAGCTCAGTAACTTGCCCAATGAATGCCACAGTTTTTAAGCAGCAGAATTAGATGAAATACCAGGGCTCTGGCTCCAGGCACTTATCTTCCCAACATTCCACACTAAGGAAGAAACAGGAAATACCCTTGTGTGGGGCAGCGGCCTGAAACCAAGTGGTGGTGAGGCAGGGACCCGAGCAAGGAGATTCATCCTCGGGGAACAGGGGCTGGGGGAGCAGCAGACTCAGTGACAGGAGACTTCAGCAACTCATGAACTACTAAAACATAATAAAATTGGGAATCCAACTAAGTAACAGTACAGAAATTTACAGAAACACTGAATATCATCTTCAGCATTTCACAAAAAAGGATTACTACAAAAAGTAATACAGAAGACAGCTTCAAAAAATAAAGATGTGTGCTTTACATGGGGTAAGTTCAGCTATATGAAGGACTCACTGCAGCCACCAAGTCTTCTTGACTTTGCTGAGGCCTTGGGCACTCTGAGAATTAAGTGGCTGGAGCAGGAAGTACCAGGAACAGGCCTGACCTGCAGCCAGTGCTCCAAGGACCTGAGCAAGCTGTGACTGTTATTAACCACTTTTCTTAAAAGTGGCCTTTTTCTTTTTCTTACATTGCTTTAAAAAGGGACTCCTGTATCACATTGGTAAATGGGAAACAGAGTCACGTTCCCTGATGGCAAGTCAACCTATAAGTACAGCAGTGAAATCAGCAATGCAGGCTCTCTCTTTGAAAAAGGAAAATTAGAACAGGTGGGAGGTGGGGGACAAGATTCAGCTCTGAACCCAGACTTTCTCTCGACAACCAGCAGGGGGCAGGAAAGAGATAAAATGAAGGAGCAACTTCCATAGGGTGTCTCTATGCCCCTGAGGAAGTGCCCATGCACCCTTGAAACGGGGTTTCTCACCCTCTGCACAACTGACACCCAGGTCTAGGCAACTGTTCTTCCGGGAGGTGGGGAGGGAGTGTGCGTCCTGCGCATGATAAGAATGCTTAGCAGCACTGTAGAGCTCCACCAACTCATTGGGCAAAGCAACCTCATTCCAGTTGTGACCATAAATGGCTGCAGACACTGCCGAGTTCCCCTGGGGAACAATATTGTCCTCAATGAGAACCACTGGCTTAGAAATATAAACAGGGTGGTAGAGAAAGCAAGTGTGACACGGCAAGTAACAGCTGGTGAGGAGGATGTGAATGGGCCAACATGGAACAATCTTATAAAAGGCTGAACATCCCAAGACACTCTCCAGGCAGACAGAATAGCAATGCAGAGCCGGGAGTGGGGCGGGGGGGGGGGGGGCGCAGCCCCGGGCGGCAGATATGTGCTTGGGGAGCAGTAAAGAGCCTGCTTAACTGGAGGACAGTAAGTGAAGGTGAGTGATGAGGTCGGCAGGGACAGATGCCGGCCTTTTAATTTTTAAAATTTTGTTATAAAATGCCTAAATATATCAAACACTTCATTTTCTTTCATCTCTTCTCATTGACACAAATCATACTTCCAGTGCTGTAAAAACAGGCATGCCTTGGATTCTCAGCCCTCCTTTCTCTTGGGCTGAGTGGTCCTGAGATTATCTTCAACCACAAGACCACATAAACTGGTGTTTCTCAAGCCTGGCACTCTTGACAACGGGCCATAGAGAGCGGGGACTGAGGTGGCCAACCCTGTCACAAACTCCCTAAGCAGAAAAGCTATTCTGAATAGCGTGGCACGAGCAGACCCAGAGAGAGAAGCCAGGACAAGAGACCCAAGAGCCTGGGCAGAATCTGGTGGTTCCCAGTTCCTGCACCAGTCCCACATGGGCCTGACTGGATATCCTGCCTTTGGGTCCCGCACAACACCACCTTTCCTTCCACCGCTTTCTGGAATCAAAAGGGACACTATGTTTCTTGCCCAAGAGACACATGGAAACCAGGCAACAAAAGGTGAGTTTAGGAAATGACTGAGGCTGTGGGGAGGAGGAAAGAGGGCTCCTGAAACCTTCCTGACCACTGCGTCTTGAGCCAGAGGGTGGAATAAGGAAGTGGCAGGTGACCCCCACATGGCAGAGGTGGGGAGGACTCACCCAGAGACACTAGGAGCCTGCAGGTCTCCAGCATCACCTCCTGGTACAGAGTCCTCTGGGCTGGGTCCAGCTGCCCCCACTCCTCCTGAGTGAAGGTCACGGCCACATCATCAAAGCTCACAGACAACTGGAAAGTCAAACAGAGGAAGCTGAGTTAGTCTGGGGCTGCTGGGTGGAATCAGCGATCGTCTCTGCATCATGGTAAAGGTGCAGACATCAAGGCCCAGAGCTGCAAGCACCTCCTGAGGGCTGAGCTCTGTGCTGGGTTCAGGGGGAGGTGGGCAATGCTTTGGACATAATACAACAGTGTAGGAGAAAAACTTCCTACGCAGAAGCCATGGTAAGGGAGACAAGACAATGAAAATGGCATGTGGATTGTGAGATGCAGACAGTAAGAAGGGCTCCAGGATGTCAGAAGAATGAGAAAATAATGACAATAATAATAATATCAGTAATGGTAATAACAGATGTGCCTGAGTCTCATTGGTCCTGCTAGGTGCCTGCCCCACGCTGAGGGCTTCACATTGTGTCTTTTCTTTACCCCGCAATTACAGTTGACATGCAATTTTATTTTATATTAGTTGCATCATGTCTTAAAGTGACTAAAAGTTCCCAGCTCTTTTTTTATCTATAGTGAATAAATTTATTGCTAAGATTTCATAAAAGGGAAAACCAAAGATTCCAAACCCACACGACAAGTCCCCAGCTCTCAAGTCATCATTCTCACCATTGACTCCTGACCAAACACACTGCATATGGAGTTTGCCTTATGTTACTCCCACCACCACATTCTACACATTCTCCTCCATGTGAAATGCCCTGCAGATACAGGATCACAGCCCTGTGATGACCAGACCCCCTCATCAAGCACAATTAACTCAGCCGCTCCACTCTCAGACCCACAGCCTTACTACTGCAGATCTATCATTTAAGTGCTCCCAGATCAGGGGTGTATAAGGAAGATAACTGGTAATGGGAAAAAAAATACAACAGAACTATTAAAACAAAAACAAGAAATAAATATATATAAATACTCCCAGACAATTGCCCATGGTTTTACACCTCTGCCTTCAGTGCTTACCTCTCTGTGCTTTCTAGCTTCCTCCTCCTCCCTATCAGTTTTGACTTAATATTTCAATTAAACTCTTGGCAATTCCTAATAAATGAACTGGTCTGTACACAGGGATCCTGCAATGGTACTCATTTCTGGTGCTGGATGAACTGACATCGCTGAATACATTTTGGACGGGTAGACAAGAAGAGAAAAACCAAACAGAACCTCCACACTGACTACCAGATGATCTAGGTTTAAATAATACGAAGTTTCTGACATGCAATCACAGAGCATCCTGTATGACTGGTTAGGGTGCATATATAACTTTCTTTGGTTAGTCTTAAGTTGGAAGTAGGTTAAAAAAAAATTAGAAAAAGGGGTTGTTATCAATCAAGTCCTGACCACCTGGGGCTGACAGTTAACGAAGTCACTCTTTAAAGATGGAGATCTGGCTTCCTACGTTGTTCACTGCATGTAAGAGCCTAGTTTCCTGGGCAGGTGGATGCAGGTTGTGGGTCAAAGTTCTATTTTCCTGTCTTGTCTGTCTACTGTCCATTCGTATATTCAGCCTCTCGCGCTCTAAGACTGCAGATTAAAGTGACAAGCCCGTTCCACTTTAAATAAACGACAAGAACAAAGAGAAATTCGATGGCCGACTTGACCTCCACCCTTCCCCAGGAGCCCTCTCCGAACTCACAGAGAAGCTACAATGTCCAAACCACGGTCCACTCACCTGCGCCGGATCCACGCACGCCGCCGCCATCACGGGACCCCGTGCAGCGAGAGGGGCCCGGGGAGGCGATGACCGAGGCGGGTCCTGCGGGCTCACGCGACCGTCTCCTTTCCCCTGCCTTCGGGGTGACCTCGGCTGACTGTCGCACTCCCTGCCCACGGCTCGGCTTCACGGCTCGTCCAAAACGGCGGAGGTGCGTTGCAGCCTCCCTTCTGATCGTTCTCAAAGCGCCCCACTGGGATAGACCACAGCAGTGACCGCCTCCCCACAGCTGGCGTGGACGGAATGGTCGCTCGCAAATGACGACATAAGCACCACGCCCAGAAGGACCGCCCCATAGGGGAAACATTGGACTATCATTGGTCTAGCGGCCGATCGAGCGCACACTCGGTGCACAGTTTCCTGGGTGAAGGAGTTTTTCTTTACATGCCACCAGCAGGGGAGCGGGAGTTGGAGCTGCAGCCGGTGTCTGGTGTTTAGGACTTACCCCACCCACCCTGGCTGGGCAACTCGGTTTAGACTGTCGTCCAGGTAGGCTGAGGTTGTGTTTCGTGAGGACATACACAAGAATCAACCAATGCTCTGGCCCGTGATGCTCAGTTGGTTAGGCATTGTCCCGCAAGGCGAAGGATTGCAAGTTCGAATCCCTGTCAGGACACTGTGGCAGGAAAAGAAAACTCCAAAAGTTTCTTATGCTCTATAACTGTAGCACTTGCAAAGTTTCACACAGGACTGTAGAAGCTGACAAGTCGTAACCAAAGCAACGGCCAGTTACTCAAGGTTGTACACAGACTCCCATGATAAGCTCCTGTGCTCTGTAGCTTCTGCAAATTCCTCCTGAGTTTTCTCTTTGTCTCCCATATAAGGTAGCTGGACCTAACTTCCGCATTCGGCTTCTGTAACCTTGCTTCGCCACGTAGGTAGGAAGCCCGGGACTATTTAAACCCCTGGAGAGTGAGGATCGGTGCTCAGAGGATTTGGATGTTAACCACCCCCTCTGGGCCCCCGGGTAATAAAGTTTGTGCTTCCTTATCTCCCCGCATGTGGGTGGATTTTCCACAACACACTACCTGGGCTGCTGGTTCCATCCCTGCCCCGTGCATAGGGAAGGCAACCAAATGATATTTCTCTCCCTGCCTTTCTCCCCTCTTTCCTCTGTCTCTAAAAGTAAATAAATAAAGCTCGAAAAAAATTTTTTTTAATTAACCAATGATGGAGGCTTGACTTGGGGTGGTGAAAACACAATACATTGTTATAGATTATGTGTTGTAGAACTGTTCACCTGAAACCTGTATAATTTGGATAGCCAGGGTCACCCCAATAAATTCAATAAAGGAAAAAAAAAGAATCAATCAATGAATGCATAAATAAATAAAACAACAAATCAACATCTCTCTCTTCCTCTCTCTAAAATCAATAAATATCATGGACATGGACAACAGTGTGGTGATTGCTGGGGAGAGGGGGAGTACAAGGGGAGTACAATGGTAATGGAAAAATTATAAGAAAAATAAAGATATAAAATATAAAATTTATAAAAGGAGGTTATGGAGAAATGTGACTTAATTAGCACTCAAAACCTGTTATCTATCACCAGCGATAATAATTTGCCTATACTAAGACATAATTCTCCTTTTCATGTGAGGGTGACCCTTACTGTTAAATTAAATGATATTGGGCTATGATAGGAGACAGAATGTCTGAAGTCATTGGTGAGGAAAGCTATGTAGCTATTGGGGAGCTTAGAAATCCCTACAGTAAAGTGTGGCACATACATCATCTGGTAGTCAATATTGAGGCTGTAGTTGGTTTTTCCATCCTAATCAACTGTTCAAAATGTGCCCAGTGATGTAAATTTATCTAGCACCAGACATGAGTAATACTGCAGGATCCCTAACTATAGACCTGCTAATTTTTAGGAATTACCAAGTGTTTAATTGAAATATTAAGTCAAGAAAACTGGTAAGAGAGGATGACACTAGAAAGTGCAGAGTTACGTAAGCACTGAAGGTGGAGGTGAAAAACCTGGAGCTAATATCTGGGAGCATTTAAATGATAGATCTGCAACAGTGGGGCTGTGCATCTGAGAGTGGAGTGGCTGAATTGTTTGTTTAATGAGGGGTCTGGTCATCACAGGGCTATCTTCTGCACCTGCTGGACATTTCACATGGCAGAGAATGCGTACAGTGTGGTGGTGGAAGTAATATTACCAAGGCAAACACCATATGCAGTGTATTTAGTCAGGAGACAGTGATTACAACGATGTCTGCAATGAACAGAATGTAGATTTGATCTCCCAGCTGAGGAGTCTAGATGTTTACTCTGGTGACATCACCTTATTGTGGATAAAGAGAACAACTGCTACATGACACTGTTAGAGAGGAATACGGGAAGTTTGGAAAAACACTCCCTCAATTGCTGCAAGAGGAGGGTGTGGTTTCTGAAGAGATGTTACATTTATTATCATTAGGGGTATTCTGAAGCAATTAGAAAATGATACACCCGGGAGGTGCCAGTGAATTCATTTGAGAACTGGGTAGCACTGATGTGCAGCGAGACATTTTATTGCGAAGATGGTAGCATGTTGTATGTCAGTATGAAAAGTGAACCTGTATTGACTAGTCCTGAAAATGTGGGGGTTAGTTGAATCTAGGAGTCACTGTTATAAGTGGTAAGTTATATATCACTAAAGTGTTTACCTGTAGAAAGCAGTCGCTAATTTTTTTTATTAAAAAGATTTGTACTTATTTATTTTTAGAGAAGGGAGGGAGACATCAATGTGTGGTTGCTTCTTGCATACCCCACACTGGGGACCTGGCCTGCAACCCAGGCATGTGTCCTGACTGGAAATCAAACTGGTGACCCTTGGGCACTCAATCCACAGAGCTACACCAGCCAGGGCAACAGTCACTAATTTTCAAGGACAGTGGTTAATTTACCATGTCTGGGGGTCAGGTGGGGCATCATTTTGACCTCCTTACTTATGCAACCATAAAGACCTGGTACAAAATGATTAACCTTTTATTAACATGTTGTATTTTAAAAGAGAAGAAACTGAAGGCAGATGAGATAGTGGGGTCAGGAGAACTCGAACAAACACACAGAAACGGGGGAGGACAGAGCTCAGGAAGCCATCTGAGCAGATGGAGGCATCACCCTCTGAGAGTGGGCCCGCACCCAGGGGTGCTGCAGGATCTGGGCCAATGGCAGCCGCTCTGAAGGCTGGTATCTGAGAAGCTTGCTGATCAAGTCTTGGGCTCCCAAAGGTATTGATGAAGGAATCCTGAAGTCAACCTGATGAGACCAGAAAAGAAACAAAAGTATGGTTAATTTTTTTGGTCCATGTTCTATCTGTTCTAAGTTCCTGCAACACACTGGATCTAAAGAGACAAGCTTGGTGTGTGTCCCAGACTGTGCACACCCAATAGCCACCACTGACTGGTTTCCCTGTGGATGATCACAGTGTGGCCATCTCACCTTGAGGATGCGTCTGTAGGTCTCAGAATAGGAGGTGCTCTCAAAAGGTGGATTTCCCACCAGTAACTCATAGCAGAGCACCCCAATGCACCACAGATCCACCTTCTCACTGTATGTTTTCTGCTCAATCATTTCTGGGGGCAAGTAGTCCAGAGTCCCGCACACTGTCTTTCTCCTAGAAGAGGACAAGGAAGAGAGCGCTGCCCAGAGGCCCAGAACAAAGGAAACCTTCCTCTCTTGGCTCCCAGTGAGATGGGAGACCCTAGGAAGTCCCTTCCCCAGCATGGGAGTTTGGAAACAAGTTTTAATATGGACTAAGATTCAGGGAAGGCAAGTACTGGGCCCTGCCAATTCCATATTTTGGAATTACTCATAAAATCTTTTTAAAAAGGAAGGAAAGAAAGAAAGAAGGAAAAAGAGAAAAAAGGAAAGGAAAGGAAAGGGGCTGACAGCTGGGGTGGCAGAGGAATTGAGCAAAAAGTGAAAAAGAGGAAGAACTCATGAACACAGACAAGAGTATGGTGATTGTTGGGGGGAGGTGGTTGGATGGAGGTGGAGAGGGGATAAATGGGAAAAATTTAAATAAAATAAAAGAAAAAATAAAGATTTGGAACAAACTGCTAGTGCATTGAGAGAGATCAAAACTGAATTATGGTTTATTCATTCAGTAAACTTCCTGAAATTATGGAGCAATGGTTATTTATTTATGTGGAAACTTACTGGTATAATTATATGTCAACAGAGATTTTTTTTAAAAAAAGATATGGTTAAACCACATTCTTTGTCTCCAAATACATAATATACACATTTGAAAAAGGCAGTAGAGCTATGTGCCGCTTAATGATAGGGAGAGATGTATCTGAGAAATGCATCATTAGGTGACTGCATCATCCTGGGAACATAATGGAGGCACTTACACACACCTAGATAATCTAGCCTACTACAAACCTGGGCTGCATGATATAGCCTATTGCTCCTAGGCTACAAGCCTGTACAGCATCTTCATATGCTGAATACTGTAGGCAATTATAACACAATGGTATTTGTGCATCCAAACATAGAAAAGGTACAGTAGAAATACAGTATAAAAGATAAAATGGTGCACTCTATGGGACACTTATCATGAATGGAGTCTGCAGGACTGTAAGTTGCTCTGGGTGAATCAGTGAGTCACTGGTGAGGGAATGTGAAAGCCTAGGATATTACTGTACACGAACATTGATTTTATAAATACTTTATGCTTAGAGGACCACTCACCAGTCAGCCAACCTTCTATTGTTCCCCTGATATTTTAAAAAGGAAAAGGAAAAAGAATTCCCTTTTGTCTGCCATAATTCTGCTGATGTGTGAGTAGGGCAATGCCCAGCTCCCTATCAAATGTACTTTGTTTTTTTAATGAGGAACCTGGTCCTTCCATGAATGACCTGCCCTAATCTGTATGTTTGGATTGAGAACTTGAAAATGTAGAGTAGGCTTAATTATTATCATATGGATGTCACCTCTGTGACTCTGAAGTAAAAAGTAAAATTATATTGTAGCCTACATTAAAATACTGTACACTTAGGCTACATTAAATTTATTTTTTAAAAAATTTTATTCAATAGTAAATTAATCTTAGGTTACTGTAACTTTTTTACCTTATAAACTTAAAAAAAATGGTCTCCATTACCCAAGGACATTTTTTCATTGCTTTCAGAGAGAAGAAGGGAGAGGGAGATGGGGCACTGAGGGGTGGGGGGAGAGGGAGAGAGAGATCGGGATCAGTGTGAGAAAAAAATGATTGGTTGCCTTCTCATATGTGCCCCAAATGGGGATCCAACACACAACCTGGGTATATTCCCTGACCAGGAATGGAACCCACAACCCTCTGGTCTACGGGACAACACTCCAACCAGCTGAGCCACAATGACCAGGGCTTTACTTTATTATTTTTTAAAACTTTTTGACTCTCTTGTAATAACTTAGCTTAAAACACAAATACATTGTATAGCTGCACAAAAATATTTTCTTTCTTTATATCCTCACTGTATACTTTTTTTCTATTTAAAATTTTTCTCCTTTTTAAAATTTTTTGTTAAAAACCAAGAGACAAGCCCTGGCTGGTGTAGCTCAGTGGATTGAGTGCGGGCTACGAAGCAAAGGGTCACTGGTTGATTCCCAGTCAGGGCGCATGCCTGGGTTGTGGGCCAGCTCCCCAGTAGGGGGTATGCAAGAGGCAACCACACATTGATGTTTCTTGCCCTCTCTTTCTCCTTCCCTTCCCCTCTCTCTAAATATAAAATAAAAATCTTAAAAAAAAAAAAACAATTAAGAGACACACACACATCAGCCTAGGCCTAGACAGGGCCGGGATCAGCACTGTCACTGTCTTCCACCGCCACATCTTGTCACACCACAAGGTCTTCAGTTGCAATAACACAAATGGAACTGTCACCTCTTGTGATAACAATGCCCTCTTCTGAAATACTCCCTGAAGGACCTGCCAAGGTTCTTATTAAGGTCACTCTTTTCAGAAATACATTGCACTGTGGTTTACTTGTTCCCCCACTTTTTTTTTTCATCATAGATTTGCTTTTAAGCAGATAATGCATCATGAATGTTCTATTGGGATCTGTTTTCAAACTTTTTAAGGAGCTTATTGAGGTGTGCAAAAGTATCTGTTCAGTACTTCTCTATAAATTTTCTTGAGGGTTCTTCTTCTACAGTTTCCTTTCCTCTTGCCTTTTCTTCAGCTATGCGTTCCTCTTCCAGTTCCAACAACTCCTCATTAGTCAGTTCCTCAGGAACCATGTCCAGAAGCTCCTCAATATGGTCCTCATCCACACCCAGTTTAAAGTTGTTTGCCATCTCAATCACAACCCTACTGATTTTTGCAAACTCCTCATGTTGGCAAATCCTTCCAAGTCCTGGACAAGCCTCTTGAGTGTCTGCTTCCAGATGCTGCTTATACACTCCTTGGTGACATCATCCCAAGCCCAAGCAAGGTTCTTGTTGCAGTTATAGATGTTGTAATCCTTCCGGAATTGCAGCAGTATAGTATAACAATTACACAATCCAGTAACATAGTCATTTACAGTACTATCATTATCAATCATGATATACTACATATAATTGTATGTACTATACTTTTATACAACTGGCAATGCAGTGGGTTTGTTTACATCAGCATCACCATGAACATGTGAGTATGTCAGCAACGTCATGTCATTAGGCAATAGGAATTTTTAGCTCCGTTATAATCTTATGGGACCCCCATTGTATATGCAGTCCATCACTGACCAAAGAAAACATCGTAATGTGGTGCATGCCTGCATTCAAACACAAACCCAGGTTTGTATCTGGGTCTTACATGCAAAATGTATTAAACTGGACCATCGCTTCAAAAAAGTTACTTATTTTAGAAAGAGGGAGAAAGAGTGGGACAGAAACATCAATGCAAAAGAGAAACATTGATTGGTTGTTTCTCACACGCACCCTGATGAAGGACTGAACCTGCAACCCAGGCACATGCCATTACCAGGAATTGAATGGTAACCTTTTGCTTTGCAGTATGATGCCCAACCAAATGAGCCATACTAGGCAGGGCATTCCTAACTAGTACCCAGGTCCCACCCCCCCACCACCTTGACTTACCTCAGTGAGGGGGTGTGCACAGACCACCCAAAGTCTGCAATCTTCACTTCACCCCTGAACCCCAGCAGCAGGTTCTCTGGCTTAATATCCCTGTGAATCACCTTATTCTCGTGGCAGTAGGTCAGGGCATCTGCCAACTCCTCCATTATCTGTGTGAGCAAAGAAAAAGAAGGCTGGTCCTGACAGGTGTGGCTAAGTGGATTGGGCGTTGCCCTGCAAGCCAAAAGGTAGCAGGTTTGATTCCTGGTCAGGGCACATGCCTGGATTGTGGATCAGGTCCCGGTTTCGAGAATGCGAGAGGCAACCAATCAATGTTTCTCTCCCTCTCTTTCTCCATCCCTTCCCTTCTCAAAATAAATAAATAAAATCTTTAAAAACTATTTTTAACAAAAGAAGGAAAGAAAAAGAGTCTGGCCCTGGCTGGTGTAGCTCAGTAGATTGAGCATGGGCTGTGAACCAAAGGGTTGCAGGCCAGGTCACCAGTAGGGGGTGCATGAGAGGCAACCACACATTGATGTTTCTCTCCTTCTTCCTCCCTCCCATCCCCTCTAAAAAAATAAATACAATCTTTAAAAAAAAAAACTCTTGTTTCCTACTTCTAAGCCAGGTTCCACTCACTAATACAGCAAACTCCCTTATAGCCAGCCTACCAGTGTTTCACCACATAAGGTAGTGAGTTAGATTCTGTTGCTTACAACCAAAAAATCTAAACTTATACACACAACTTGTTCATATTCTGGGATAATTTGGATATCCAAATGTGAAACTGTAGGCTACATGTCATTATGCAAAATTTATAGAATACAATTCAGCAGTAAATAAAAAAACAAAATCTGGACATTCATGACAGCCACAAGCAGTGACCCTCCCTGTTCACCAGCCCAAAGCAAATTCGTGGACCCCAAAGCCCCCATGACCCTCACGACCCCCACCTCACCGTGGCTGTACGGTGCTCATCTAAAGTGTGGCTCTTTTGAAGTTCCTTGTAGAGCTCACCCCTTGGAGCGTATTCCAGAATCAGGTACACACGACGTGCATCATGGAAGTAGTTGTATAGGCGTAGGATATTGGGGTGTCTGGAGGAGAGATGCCGAAAGAGTCAGACTCCTCCCTGAGGGCAAACTCATGATGCTGTCACAAGTGATTGGTCACACAAGAAGCAAAATGTACTGGGCCCTGAATAATAATAGCCTGATCTGGGAGGGCATGAGGGGAGAACAGGGAATGGGCATTAGGTGCATGACACACGGAGCCAATATATGGTGTAATTGTAATGAATTGCTGAGAAAAAATCTTCCAGGTGAAAACAAGGGCCTATTTGGGGATAGTTTGGGGGGAAAAGCTGGGTTCAGATGTCAGAGATAATAGGGGACACTAAATGCCCTGGCCGGGTAGCTCAGTTGGTTAGAGAGTCCCCCAGATATACCAAGATTACAGGTTTGGTCAGGGCACATACAAGAATCGACCAATTAATGCATAAATAAGTGGAACAACAAATTGATGTTTCTCTCTCTCCAATCAATTAAAACATTAAAAAAACAAAAGAAGTGCTCTGGCCAGGTGGCTCAGTTGGTTAGACAGAGTGTCATCTATGCCAAAAGGTTGCCAGTTCAATCCCTGGTTGGGCCACATATGGGAGACAATGGATCGATGTTTCTCTTTCCCTTCCTGTTTCTAAAACTAGTGAACATATCCTTGTTTGAGGATTTAAAAGAGAGAGAGGGGGAAAAAAAAGCAACCAATGAATGCACAAATAAGCGTAACAACAAATCGTCGTTTCTCTCTCTCTCAAAAAAAAATCAATTAAAAAAAAAAAAAAGACGACACAGAAGAACAAGGGTAAGAACCAGAGTGGAACTATCATGCCTAAACAGTCCTTACTGTAGATGTGCCTGAATTTCGATTTCTCTGCGCAGCTGGTGTTCCATTCCCTCCTTCTCGAGCTGGGACTTGAAGAGGACTTTCAGAGCCACAATGAAGTGGCTTTCCTTGAGCCGAGCCAGGTACACATTCCCAAATTTTCCCTTGCCCAGTGGACGCCCGATGTCAAAATCATCAATGGTGAGGCTCCGGCTAACAGGAGTGGAAACAAAAGTCTCAGTTTGGGAGTTCAGCGGACCTCGAGGGCTCGCCATCCTCTTCCATGCACCCTCCCTCAGCCCCTTTCGCTTCTCCAGGGCCCTGCCAGGGGTTTGAGCAGCAGCTCTCAGTCCCATGAGTCAACACTTCAGAGGCACACTCAGTTTTCATCCCTCCGTCCCACTTTCCTTCCTCTTGCAGATACAAAGCCAAAGGCACTCACGCGGCGGGCACGCTGGGCAGTGTTGGACACTCTGCAGCTGCTGAAAGAGAGAGCTGTCAACGCTTCCTTTACTGCGCACCCCACCCCCCAACAACCGACCGCGGGCAGTTCCTCTCAACCCTTTTTCTGATTCTGGTTCTTCTCCCTATCACCTGTGGGCTGAGCATCGCCCAACTTCACCACAGGCTGTGGGACACTCATGAGAAGAAACGATGGCGCGATGATGCCCCCCTGAGTCCTGCGGAGCGGGGTGTGAAGGTCCGGCTGATCTCGAAAAGGGATCACAGGAGGGAACACAAAACACTGGTTGAGACTCTTCCAGTCCCAATACGCGTCGTCGGAGCGCAGTAGGTCCTTCGGCGACGGCTCGGGAAATGGCGAGGTGATGCTGGACAGGAGGCCTTTTACTGTTCGCACCCAGGTCCCATTGGCTGAGACAGTAGTTTCTGACCGGTTTCCATTGGTTGAAATTTCTGAGGCCAGTCTGTGAGAACGCTGAGCCAATGAGATGGCAGTACGGAAACCGGAAATAGGCGGGACCTGGGCGGTTGCCGGAAGCGCAGAAAACTAAAAAAAACGAACTTGCGGAAGAAACACCAGAAAAGGTGCAGGAAACTACCCTGAGTCGCGGGTCGCTCAGTCGGTTACAGTGTCGTCCCTCCCTGTACTCCAAGGTTGTGGGTTGGATCCTGGGTCAGGGCACATATGAGAATCAGCCAACTAGATGCATCAATAAGTGGGGTAACACACTCCTGGCTAGTGTGGCTCAGTGGATTGAGTGCGGCCTGTAAACCAAAGTGTCAATGGTTCGATTCCCAGTCAGGACATATGCCCCCGTTGAGGGCCAGGTCCCAGGTGCCCAGTAGGGGACGTGAGAGGGAACCACACTTAGATGTTTCTCTCTTTCTCTCTCCTTTATAACTAAAACAAATGGATGTTCCTCTAAGGCCACACAGCACAGGCTTAAGTATGTACATATTGTAAATGCGTGAAATGGGTGGACACATTCAGGAACTAAGTGACAGGACTCACGTGTGAGTGAATATAAAGCAACTCCAGGAAGTTGCTGGTTTTGCTGGAGTTAGAAAGCTCCCAAACCACTTGTGCTCCCAAATGCTTAAAGGTCATGTCAAGTTCAAGCTGTTCCCCAGAACCCCATCAAGCATAGTGAGCTTCCCCAAATTCGGGCTTGTCCCCCATATCCTGTGCTCTTGAACTCGCCAAGCCCACCTGCACACCTATTTATTTTATTTTTGCATATTACAGAAGTTTCAACATTTGAATTCCTTTAGAGAGGGAACAGATAAATTGTTGGGGTAATAGACTTTACTTTTTAAAAATGGATGTATTTTTAAATTTTATTACTTATTACTTTTAGAGATAGGAAAAGAGAAACATCCATTCATTGTTCCACTTATTTATGCATTCAATGCCTGCTTATTGTATGTGCCTTGAATGGGGATCAAACCTGCAACCTTTGTGTATTGGGACAATGTTCTAACAAACTAAGCTACCTGGCCAGGGTGGAGAAATAATGAAAAAAATCCAACCCAGAAAATCTTGCCACAAAATTAGTAGAGAAGTGAAAGAGTTTATTATCGGATAAGCATTAAACCAGAATGTGATGTGCATCAGATATTCGCTAACATTGAAAAGACAGGATCTCACCTTTTCATTGAGTCAAGCAGACAAAACCTATTACATTTTCAAAATAATTAGTCCTGAAGTAAGAAATGTGGCAGCAAAATGTTACACAGAGCTCACCCAAAATTTACCTAGTAATTGGAGGACTACCTGCCCTTACATTGATTTTCTATAAACAAACTTCTTATTCTTTAGAACACCATGTAGTTTTGCAACTTGCGAGGAGCAAGGTGCCCACTGAAGTTAGGCTCCTTCCCTTTCATGAGATTTCATTTCAGACATTGTTCCTAGGTCTTTGAGAATGATATTTCTGGGTTGGGAAGAGTTCTGGGGTGTTTAAGGAAAAGCAAGGCTAGTGTAGCTAAAGCTTCATCTGTAGGGGTCAGAGTGGTACAAGATAAGTTAGATAAATGGAAACAATTTTGTAGAACCTTGTCCATTTTAAAGAGGTTGTTACCTGCAATGTGTTCTAAATGTACCTGGGATCTGCTTAATCAGGTAAGACATGCAGCCTTGGAAGTGACGAAGAAAGTTTATGTTCACGAATCTCTATGGAGCAGGAGTCAGGGCTTGCCATCCAGGGCCAGGTGGGGGAAGCACCTGGGTGGTTCATGGGGCAGAAGCCCCAAGGAGAAAACATGGCCCAGCCCCCTTTGTTGTGTTTTCTGCAGGAAAGAGAAGGCAGGGCAGGTAAACACCTTAGGATTGGCTAGTTTGAAAAGTATTGTAGAACTTCAGAGCATAGGAGGTGTTGCTTGCCTGATACCTTGCCCTGGAGTTTTTTAGGACACTGAAAATAATACTCCTTGAGTTCAAGAGCCAGAGGGAGGTAATTAGTTTGCATAAGAAGGGTGAGGTTCAGTGCAGGTTGTTGGATGTGTGTAAGAACTGGCTAGCTCTGGGAGGGGTAGTATCTCCCCAGTTGATGAGGTCCCAAATGTCAAGACAAGATTACAGAAAATAAAAAAAAAAGTTATTACAGTGTGAAATAGGTAGCCACTGTGCAGTTCTGAGCTGAACAGTATTGGTAATTTGATTTGCGCATTAAAGAGTTAGTCTGGGTGCTGCATAGAAATGAGAAAATCAGAGTATAGGAGCAGCAAGAGAGGAGGAAGATCCGTTTGGAAGTTCTCACTACTTTCCAGATGGTGAGGATAATGACTTAAACCAAAGCAGTGAGAGGGCAGGTGATTTACCACACAGAAATAACAGTTAATCGAAGAACACACTAAGTAATCAAAATAGTACAAAAATATGGATACAGACATAATAGCTTTATAGGATGAACTAGTTATTTCTTTAAATCTCTCCATTCCTCATACTGCCTCCTTCAAATGTGAGGCATATTCCTGATAATACCCTGGTATATTTGTTACAGAATGCTTCTTTACATGGAGATAACCGAGCAAATATGATTGTTTCACGGTAACAGAGCTTAGGCTAAGGGCCAGGGGGTTGAACTGTACAAGAAAGTGTTAACAGGCCTCAGTTGCTCAAATGGTACTCTCTCCAAAACAAAACTGGCTTTGACCAACTCCATGAAGACCACCTGCGTCCTTGAAATATTGTGCCTGTAAGAGTGATCTTTATGCCTAAATCTGTATACCCCACTGTATCAGTTTGATCATGTAATTTATGCTAACAATGTGACTCATGGTGAATGGTGGGGTTTGTATCTGTGTCTGCTCTGGATACTGGAGACAGTGTCCATGGTCAGTCCTTTTAAGATTTTCTTTTTAGAGAGAGGGGAAGGGAAGGAGAAAGAGGGAGAGAAACATCAGTGTGTGGTTGCCTCTCGTGCACCCCATACTGGGGACCTGGCCCACAATCCAGGCATGTGCCGTGACTGGGAATCAAACCATTTAAACTTTGGTTTGCAGGCTGGCACGCAATCCACTGAGCCACAACAGCCAGGGCCATGGTCAGTCTTTTAAGTATTGCATGCCTCAATTTAAAAAAGTTTGTGGCCCTGGCAGGGCAGCTCAGTTTGTTAGAGCATCATCCAGATATGACAATGTTGCAGGTTCAATCCTCAGTCAGGGCACATACAAGAAGCAAGCAATGAATGCAAAAGTGGGACAAATCAATGTTTCTCTCTTCTAAAATCAATTTTTTAACAATTTAAAAAGGAAATGGAGGCTTCAAGAGAGGGTCCCAGAAAAGAGGCACCTGAGGGTTGAGAAACGGAGGTAACCATGCCAAGTCAGGGATTTTTATCCTCCGTAAGTAAACATACCATGTAGTGCTGAGGGGAGACTGAGTGGATCAGAATCAGGGACGAGAGCCATTTTATGAATCCAAGTCATGTGGAGACTGAGGTACCTATGAAATACTCAAGTGGGAACAGTAAGACAATCAAATTCAGGACTAGAGCTCCAAGAAGTCAGGAGTCAAGAAATAAATTTCCATTTGTTCAAAGTAAAGATAACTGAAGCTAAGAATGCAGATAGGGCCTGTGGAGGGACCACATAGTGAGATTAAAGGGCTGGGAAAGTCTTTAGAAATTTCAAAACTGAATGGGTGGCTAGAGGTGAATGAGTCATCAAGGAAGGGTAAACATGAGAAGGGAGAGAAATGAAGAGAGTAATGTCACAGAACCAAGGTAGAAGTGTGTATTTCAATGAAGTGGTCAATGGGATCAAGTCCAGTTTCGAGCACAAGACCAAGGGCTTAAAATGTATAAACTTAGGAGTCACTGTTGTGCTTTGCCAGGGTGGAAGGTGGCATTGCAGCAAGGAGGTTCATGAGGGAGGGAGATTTGGGAAATAGAGGGAGAGTAAGAGGAAATGGTGAAGTGGAAATACCACATTAAGTCCCAAGGGCTCCTAAAAGGCTGGGAGGGGGGAGGGAAGGGAGAAAGACCAAGTGGCACTTGAACAAGCTGAGATATAGGGAAGGTCACAGTGGCGATGTCGTCCAACACTCAGGCCAGTGTGATGACAAGTCAGTAAGGGTGAGGGACAAAGGAACATGCAGATGAGAAATAGGCTCGCAAGTAGCCAAGATGACAAATAAGCTAAGTCAGGGTTCAAGGAGACAGAGTGAGAAGGGAGCACTTCAAGTGCATGAGGACTTGTACCTGAAAGCAGGGACACGGAATGAACGAGAAAGAGCTGCAGTAGTAAGCAGTAATGCTGAAGACGACAGCTACCACTCTGATGAGAATGCTATCTACATACACATAAAAAATTACATTACATATAAAGTGGGGCAAAAGGTTTACAAGTGTACATGAAAGTTTATCCTATTATTTTCCATACAACTGTTAACTTCCTTTTGCTCCATCCTGTATATTAGGTATATACATGTTTATACAGCACATATATATGGCCCTAATGTTGTGCATACAACACACACGCACACATAGTTATGTGTATCAATATTAGGATGAGGCAAAGTCCTTTCTCACCAATTCCCTCTGTACTTTGTCATCACTAAATTAAATAATGGCCAGTCTGGAAGTTCTACGGTCACTTAGTATACTATTTTTTTGGTCACAATGGTTCTGTGCATATATAAGCCTACATACACCTCCAAGTTATTCTTAAATAAGGAGTGGCTTGGGGTGCCCAAGCTTTCTGTGTAAACACTGTTGTTGTTTATTTTTTTTAAAGATTGTATTTATTGTTAGAGGAAGGAAGATAGAGGGAGAGGAACATCAACGTGTGGTTGCCTCTCACGCGCTCTGCACTGGGTGGGGAACCTGGCCTGCAACCCAGGCATGTGCCCTAACTGGGAATCAAACCAGTGACCCTTTGTTTCGCAGTCTGGTGCTCAATGCATTGAGCTACACCAGCCAGGGCAACACCATATTTTATACCCAACACCTGCTATCCTAGAATTTGGTATGCGCTAACAAGAGTGCCTCCTAAAATCCCAGGGCAATGAGTCTCTAATGAGCTTCCCTAGTAGACATTTCAATCCGTTGTAACTCCTTAGTGGAGCTTCAACTAAGCACATCCTGCTGTGACTTCTGAGACAGGACTATTGAAAACTGTCTCTGGGTTCCTGTGGACCTCAGTCCTTGTGCCTTTTCCCTTGGCTGGCTTTGCTTTGATTCCTTTTGCTGTAATAAATCATAGCAGTCTTCCTAGCAAATCATCAAACCTGGGGTAGTCTTGAGAATCTCCAACACAATCATTCATTGTGACTTAAAATCTTCCTAAAATCTTATAGGAATAAATAAATAAAATCTTAATCAGATCTGTCTGTAAAAGTCCATGTAGACTCTCTTGGAGGACAACATGCCATGTACTGTGCCGACTATACACACAGTTATTTGTAAGCACTCTGGGAGGGACCCAACATGACAATAAAAATGCACTGCTATGTGTGGCCATTCAAAGACACACATATTGTCTGTTGAGGAAAATGAAAAGGTAACATGAACAAAATGAGACAGTGGCTGGATGCAGGATGATGAAAGAAAAATGGCTGAATATATATCATGCAAGCATAAATCAAAATACACAGACCTGCCTATATTAATACTAGATAAAGCATGCTTCAAAGGCAAGGAAATGAACAGAAGTAAAATGAGGCATTACATAATGGTAAAAGGGTCATTACACCAGGATGACATAGTGATCCTGAATGTGTACGCACTGAACAACAGAACTCTGAAATACATGAAGTTAAAACTGATAGAACTTAAAGGAGGAAAGACAATTCCACAATTATACTGCAGGACTTCAACACCCCTCTTTCAGTGATTGACAGAAATACTACAACCACGCCCCCCCCCCAAAAAATTGGCAAGGATATTGAAAATCTGAATGATACTTCCAACAGGATTGGGCAGGCATTTATGGAAACCCCATCCAATGTCTGCCGAACAAACATTCTTTTCAAGCACCGTACAGAACATTTAAGAAGGTAAGCCATATCCTGGGTCATAAAAAAAAACAATAAAAAAACCCCTCAACTAATTTAAACAGTGAGGCCAAATGGGAAACAAACTAGAAATCAGAAACAAAAGCATAGTATAAAATGCCCCCAACACTGGGAAATAAAACATTATACTTCTAAATAATCCATGGACCACAGAGAAGTCTCTAAAGGAATCAAGAAATATTTAGAACTGAGTAAGTTGTTATAAACATGAAACCTTATGGAATGAAGCTAGATCAGTGCTGTGAGGGAAATTTATAGTACAGGTGACTCCTGAACAATGCAGGTTTGAGATGTATGGGTCCACTCACATGCAGATATCTACCTTGTTCAAGAGCCAACTGTATTTTCGATCTGCAGTTGGGAATTGGTGTATGTGGATGGCTGACTAAGTTACATGCTGATTTTCAACTGTGTAGGGGGAAGGGGGGGAGTCGATGCCCCTGAGCCCCACATCATTCAAGGAACACCGTACTTAATGCTTACAATATGAAGAAAAACACTTCAAATCAATAATCTCAACACCTCAAAAAATACAAATAGCAAAATACAACTAAAGCAAAATAGAATAAAGATCAGGAGAAAAATTAGTGAAATTAAAAACAGAGTAAGAACAGGGAAAAACCAATGCTATAAAGTTCTCGTTCTTCAACTGACCAATAAAATTGATAAATGTCTAAGACAACATATTTCCAAAATGAGGAATAAAATGAGATATCTAAGTACAGATCCTCCTGACATTAAAAAGATAATAAAAGATTACTTCAGCCCTGATCAGCATGGCTGAGTGGGTTAGGCATTGTCCTGTAAAGTGAAAGGTCACTGGTTTGATTCCCTGTCAGGGCACACGTCTCAGTTGGGGGACAGGTTCCTGGTTGGGGATGTATGAGAGGCAACTGACAGATGTGTCTTTCACACATCTGTTTGTTTCCCTTTCTTTCTTCCTCCCCTTCTCTGAAAATAAATAAACCTTAAAAAAAATTACTTCAAATAGGGCTGCAAACAAAATAGAAAATTTAGATGAAATGTAACAATTCATTGAAAAGGACAAACTATCCAATATCCAACATGAAATATATATTCCCAATACTTCCATACTTACCAAAACCAGACAGTGAGTTAAACTATGCCCCCCAAAACTATCATCATCATTTAGTCAAGAAATTAGTAGAAAACTTCAACAAAATATAATAAAATGGAATGCTTTAATATGGTATATTAATGTGCTATATAAAAAGAATTATACTCCACAACCAAGTGAGGTTTATTGCAAGAATGCAAGGCTGGTTCAATATTCAAAACTCACTGCAATACTATAATATCAATAGGCTAAAGAAAAAAATCAGATCATCAACCATTGATGAAAATAAACCATTTGTCAGAATCCAATACTTATTCATAATAACAAAAAAAATTTCAGCAAATTAAGAATAGAGAGGAACTTTCTAAACTTGGTAAGAAAACTATGAAAATGACTTACAACTATTATCTTACTTAATGATGAAAAACTGAACATTCCCTCCTAGTATCAGGAACCAGTCAAGAATGTCCCTTCTTACTATATTACTATTCAACTTCACACTGGAAGGCCTAGCTAGTGCAATAAGACAAGAAAAGGAAACAACAGGTATATAAATTGGAAAGGAAGAAATAAAACTGTATTTGCAGCTGACATTTCTAGGCAGAAAATCCCAAAGGTTCTATCCAAAGAAATGGCTAATAATAAGTGAGTTCAGCAAGGTTGCAGGATACCAAAACACCCCAAAAACAATTACACTTCTGTGTACTGCCAAAGAGCATGTGGACAATAAAAATTGAAAATCAATGACACTTACTATCACTCAAAAACAAAAGCCCAGATATCCTAACAGAAATTTTCAGAACTTGGATATTGAAGATTATAAAATGCTAACAAAATAAATCGAGGATGACTTAAATAAATGTAGTCATATCATGTACTTGTTCATGATGCCAATTCTCAAACTGACCTACAGTGTGAAATAAATTTCTATAAAATGAGATTAAGATGTTTTTGGTAAGAATAGACGATCTTAAGATTTATATGAAAAGTTAAAGGAATTAGGAAAGCTAAGTCAATTTTAAATAACATAGAGAGGAATTACTTTACTCAATTTTAAGATTTCCAGTCTAGCTACAGAAATAAAAGAAATTGGGATTAAGAAAGTTTTAGGTTTTAAAACCTACAAAGAGAATAGTGTTTTAAAAGTCAAAGCCTTAATAATCTTAACTGGTACAATAAAATATGCCCATTTATACATGTATCCTTATTATCTTAAATACCCACCCTCAACTGTCTCTCTTAACATTGGATAGCCATGAACGTGTACAAAATACATAAAGGATCAAGGCCCTCTGCCCCTAAAACAAAATTATTCTTGCCCCAAGTAAACTAGGTAATCCATGACAAAGTGCCACAGGCTTAACAGAGAAGTCTCATTGCATTTCGTTTCTAAGTCTCCTAGTTCTTTAAAAAAAAAAAAAGTTCCTGAGATACACGGCTCTGCAAACTAAGTAAAAAACTGGAGGGGAAGGTTCTCCTTGGTGCACAGTAAGGCTGATCACTCCCTTATAGGTGAATTCTCAGATGCAGAATAAGGCTCTAGGCTGTGTCAGTTTCTAAAATGTGTCTTCCTGTGACAAGTGATGATGAACATAAGGTTTTCTCACAGCAAAGTTTCTTGTGGGGTTTCTCTTTGGTATGTACTATCAGATGCCGTGGTAGATGTTTTCTCCGGCAAAAGATTTCTCTCAGTGTTTACATTCAAAAAGTCTTTCCCTAACAGGAGTTCTCGGAGAGTGAGTGCAGTCTGCCCACTTGTGAAGGGTCTTCCCACTTCTGTTACATTGACAGGGTTTCTGCCAGAATGCATCCTTTGATGCTGACTGAGGGATGAGCTACGACTGAAGGCCTTTCCACATTCACTGCACTTGTAGGGCTTCTCTCCAGTGTGGATGATGGCATGTCGAATGAGGTTAGTGCTCCAGCAGAAGGATTTCCCGCACTCCATGCACTCATAGGGCTTCTCTCCACTGTGAATCCGCTGGTGCCGTGTGAGGCCTGACCTGCGGTTAAAGGCTTTCCCACACTCACTGCACTCATAGGGCTTCTCTCCAGTGTGGATGCTGAAGTGTCGTATAAGGTCTTTCCTAGTGCTGAAGGCTTTCCCACATTCTTTACACTCAAAAGGTTTCTCTCCAGAGTGGGCCCTCTTATGCAAGATAAAAGTGGAGCAGTGGGTGAAGGCCCTACCACATTCCATGCACACAAAGGGCTTCTCTCCAGTGTGGATGCGCTGGTGCCTCTTGAGGTATGACCTGTGGTTGAAGGCCTTTCCACACTCCAGGCACTCAAAGGGCTTCTCCCCAGTATGGATGACATAGTGGTGAATGAGGGCTGCACTCTCACAGAAGGCCTTCCCACACTCACTGCACTCATAGGGCTTCTCCCCTGTGTGAGTCTGCTGGTGCCACATGAGGTATGACCTGTGTTTGAAGACCTTGCCACACTCGAAGCACTCATAGGGATTCTCACCACTGTGGATGATGTGATGCCGAAGAAATCCTGGCCTGTGTCGAAATACTTGACCACATTCTTTGCAGACAAAGGATTTTTCTCCAGTGTGTCTTCTCTTATGTAAGACAAAATTGGAGCGATGGGTGAAGGCCTTTCCACATTCAGTGCACTTATAGGGCTTCTCTCCACTGTGAATCCGCTGGTGTTGGGTAAGGTACGACTTCCGGTTGAAGGCCTTCCCACACTCCAGGCACTCATAGGGCCTCTCCCCTGTGTGGATCATGTGGTGCTGAAGGAGGTGCGTGCTCTTAATAAATGTTTTCCCACACTCTGTGCATTCATAGGGCTTCACTCCAGAGTGAATCTTTTCATGTCCAGCAAGAAGATGTTTCTTGTTAAACACTTTCCCACATTCATTACATTTAAAGGTATTTTCTTCTTCCTGAACCATGGGATGTTTATCAAATTCATGTGAGTCATGGTCAAGGAGAGCACCTCCCGAAGGAACTGGCTCCTGCACACTCCCTGAATGCACACTGCTAACTGACCCTAGGCCTCCATGTTCAAGGCTCCCTGGGACCTTCTCCCTCGGGGGGTCTATCCCTGCTCTCAAGTATCCTTCCTGCATAGATACTTCTGATGGTCCATCCCGATCATTGGTCTGGTCCACTTGGGAGTCCCCTGCAACTTTTTGTGTTAGTTGTTCCTGGAGTGAGAATCTCTCAGGTGGGGTAGGCTCACAGGTGGTAGGTTCTGTGGTCCTGAGTTTTATTTTGTCACCTGAAAGAAATCCAATACACAAAAATTATGTGTTAGTAATGCCAACACAGAAGAAACAAAATCAGCATTACACTGTATGCTGTGTTTTGCTACCTCTGAATCCCAAGATTGCAATCTCTTTTTCTCCTGGTTCTTGGACTGTTGACAGCCAGGGCAGTGGCTGGGTGACAGAGCAGAGTATCTGGAGTGCGCACAATGCCACAATTCCAGACTGGGCATAACTGTCCACAATAACGAGTCTGTGTGTTCTGAGTTTCCTCTGGGCAAGTGCAGCCCACGTTGCTACATGAAAACTTGGGAAGGATATCTAATGCAGCCCAGATTGAAGACAGGAAGTATATAATGCAAAGTTAATTCCCTCAAAGGGAAGTGTAATCTTTTTCCCAACTCCAAGGAAGTAACCTTTAAATTCTGGGTATTTCCAGAATGACAGACATGTCTAGGTTCTTCATGGAGGGCCCCAGTAAACACACCTGATAGTTTATGACAACAGATAACTCATTATGGGCCCCTACACAGTTTATGGTAAGGAGATGACTCTGAGTAAGGTCTGGTCATATCAGAAAGACCAACCATGTAATTAAAAAGGTGGGGCTTTGAGCCACAGGTATTAGTGGAACTTCTGGAAAGAAGGGCTAGAGACTGAGTCCCACTAGTGAAGAGTCAGTGAAATGAAGTCTCAAGGAAAATCTGGACACTGAGGCTCTGGGGAGCTTCCTGGGTGTGTGATGCTGCATGCTCATACTTCTACATGTCAATGCCAGGGGGAGATAAGTTGCTGAGAATATAGAACCTTCATGTTTGGAACACTTCTAGCCCTACATTCCACATCTCTTCTAATATGGATCTTTTATCCATAATAAACATGATAGTGAGCATAGGGGGTTTTAGGGAGTTTTCTGAATCTTTCTAGCAAAAAATTGAACCTGAGGGTGATTTGGGGAAATCCCTGAACTTGAAGTTAGTGTCAGAAGGTCTGGGAAGTCTTGGATTCTTTCACCTTCAACTTTAGTTTGGCTAACACTGTGCAGGAAAAATCAGGGCTTTCCAATGTACCCATAATGTGAGTCCCACTGGCACATAAGGGCTACCACAAAGAGAAAGGGGTAAGGGCACAGCAGCCATGGGAGATAGAAGGTACAAGGGCACTGAGAGAGTGAGAGGGCAGTGCAGAGGAGAATCCGGGGTGGATAGATGGGGACAGTAAGGACTGCTAGGACAGGGCTCATAAGGTGAGCAGGACTGGGGTGAACATATTGAGTCTGGTATACCTAAGGAACGGTTTGGTGAAGATTGGAAAAATACACACAATCTACACGGAGAAAATAACATTAAAGGCAAGATCAGCCCTGGTCTGGTAGCTCAATTGATGAGAGATTCATCCTGAAATGCCGAGGTTGTGGGTTGGATCCTCAGCCAGAGCACACGTAAGAATCAACCAGTAAGTACATAAATGAGTGGAACAACAAATTGATGTCCCTTTCTTTCCCTCTCTCCTTCTCTAAAATCAATTAATCAATCAAGATGAAGTTCATCTGTGAAGGATTTAAGACTAAAAAACCAACAATTCTACCCAAGTGAATATATAAATTCAATACAATTCCCTGTAAAGTGCCAAATGGTTACCATGGAACATGACAGTCTGACTGTGGACCTGCATGAACAACCAGAGGGGAGAAAAAGGAGTATAATGAGAAGCACTTTACCAGATACCACCAGATTTTAAGGCCTGGCAGTACTGGCACAGAGAACAAATAGGCACTGGAAGAAGAACAGAGAGCTCAGGAAGTACACACACATACAGTGAGCTGGTGGACGTCAGGAGGCAGAGTAGCTTGGTGGTAAAGCATAGAATATAGAGTAAATGGAGCTGGAAAAACTGGTGATGTGGAGGAATGACCTGTCTCATACTGTACCCAAATGCTGCCTCAGATCAAAGAGTTAAATGTCAAACACCAAATTTTAAAACTTAAAATAAACAAGAATATCTTCTAATGTTGGGGGTAAAGCAAGATTTTTATACAAGACAAAAAAATCATTAATCATGTAAGGAATGTCATTATATTAGACTACACTAAAATAAAGATCCTCTATTCAACAAAGTAACTTTAAAGACAGTGAAAAGACAAGATTACAAAACAGAAAACTCTACTGTAACATCTATAACTAATAAAACTATCTGAATATACAAAGAATCCCTACAAATCAAAAAGCAAACAAGTTAATAGAAAAACATGCATCTGTCATGAAAAGGACACTTCAAAGATGAAAATACAAGTTGGCCAACAATCATATGATCAGGTGCTAAAGAAAGTGAGACACAATTGTGTGTCCACTTGATAAGCAAAAATTGAGGTGCCTCAGAAGAGCAAACACAGGACAGTACATGACCAAGGGAATAGCACTTCTCTTGGGAGAAGTGTAGACTAATCTAGGCTTCTTAGAAAACAATGTCATGTAGAAGCTTGAAGTCTGCATAGCCTATCATCCAACTACCTCAAACCAAGAAAAAGCAGACTCCCAGGGCAAGGCAACCAGGGCAAGATGCCTAGTCCACACAAATGTTCCAGGCAGCACTATGAGTGAAAAGATGTAAAGACATGAAATGCCCCAGAGAGTGGATGAATAAAATGTGAGACAGGAACAATTTTAATTTATTTTCTTCAACTGTGAGGACCTTGAGCATATTTTTATGTTGAACAGAGAAAGGATGAAGTTACACACAAAAAAAGCACATTAAGTGAAGAATACAAGTGAAGGGAGAATTTCCTCATAAAGCTGTGGTGCAGACCCTGGTTCAGGCACCAGCTATGGTAGGGGAAGACCTCTTCACCAGTGAAAGGAGATGCCACAGACAGAAGAGTCCATGAGAGTCTGCGAGAGTTTGCATGTGTGTGGAAGGGTGAGGAACAAGCGATGGAAGGAAGCAGACCTACCTTCCACAGGAAACCTGGCTGACTTGTTAGTGGCCCTTGGCTGAGACAGCTGTGGCTGGGGAAGGGATCACTGTCTGGGACAACAAGGGGGCTGCTCATATAGGACACAGAGCTGACTCGAGGCACAAGCTAACATACAGAGCAGTTAGGAGACAGTTAGTATCCTCCCCTACCTAGGGGGAAAAGATTTGGACAGCTTGAGCTGCATGTGTGGGGACGGATTCAGAAGATGGAAGTGATGGGAAGGGGTAACGTGTGTGGGGATGGCTGGGTGCAGGGACTGATGACAGAGGGGTCGAGTCCTTCTCTGCAGTTGCATCCAGTCTAAGTTGCTTCAATGACAGGCCCATTTGCTAACACTGGGGCAGTGGGAGGAGTGAGTAACATGGGGTCCTTGCCAGGCATGCTGACTTTTGGGGCCTTTGAGACTTTCAAGTGGAGATGTGGGACTGAGGAGAAGGCAGAAGGCTGGGAAAAGATTCTGAGGGGCTGCCAACACTCACAGGCTGGCCAAGCAGCCCAAGGGAGCAAGAGAGGGACAAAAAAGACTCTGTAGAGCACCCATCTCCACATGGGATGCCCCAGTGCCCTCTGCAGCTCACATGTGGAACAGAGATCAATGTCACCTTTTGGCTTCAACACACAGGAGGCATAGGAACAAGGGGGTGCTTGTGTTTCTGATGGATACTTAGGAATGGATGGATGGAGAAGGTGGGACGATGGCAGGCAGAGCACAGCTGGAGAGAGCAACCGCACAGGAAGAATGGCCCTTTTCCTCAGAGTGAGACGCATTGCTTGTTATGATAAAACACGAGTAATGCCCATATCTTGCTGTTCACGAGACACTCACGATGGCTCAGACACTGTGCTAAGCAGTTTTATGTATTAAAGCAGTACGTCATCACATCCCCAGACAACCCGATGACAAAGACCCATTACTACTAGCATCTTCCAGCAACAGGCCAGGTGTAGCAGGCTACACTCACCAAACCCTCTGCTCTTAGATGGTACACATGGCTTCGGCACACTTTCCAGCCCCACACACCCAGGGATGCCCAGGTGCCTCACTCTGTGTGGGAGCAGGCGTGACACCCTCCCTTCCTCTCTCCATTCTCCTCTGCCATCTGCAGGATGTCAGGACAACCTGAAAGCCACAGGCTGACGACAGAACAGACATGGGTCCCTGAATAACTGTGTGGTTCAGAGCTCTGAGAGGACCCCCTGGTCCCTGCTGTGACCAAGAAAAAGAGCTTCCATATGCCGAACGTTGAGAATCTGGAGTCTGATCTGGAAGCTAGTTTTCACTTATACAAAGACATGAGATTGTGCAACTATGTTATGGCCACAGAGCTGGTGATCGGCAAGCCAGGGATTGATCCCACAGATCCTGGCTCATTCACCTCTATCTTCCACAAGGTCAAAGGGCCCATGGTCAAAGGCTCCATGGCGTCCACCAGACAGGCCACAACAAGAGTCTCCCCAGGGATCCATGGCCAGGGTCTTGTGAAGGTCTCCAGGCTTTCAGGTCTTCTGTTTGTCCCCATCTTGGTACCTACCTGGACAGGTGCTCTGGGAGAGGTCCTTCTTCACCATCCACAGCTCCTGCCCATGCTTCAACTGGTTGACCAGCTCAGGACTGGGAACAGGACACCCTGTTCATGGAGAAAGAAAGAGGGCATAAGGATTTTGGGGAAAGGAAATAAAACCTCTCCATCTAGTCTGGGCCTTGAGGACTGGACAAGACCTCAGAATGAAGCTGTTCCCATCTGCACAAACAAAAAATGACATGTGACCTGGAATCCTAAGACACAAACACCATCACTGGGATCCAAATGCTGTAGGCAGTAATGCTGGCTGTGTAGACAGCACTATTCAATTCCATCACATGAAGTTTCAAATCTGTTCCATTGTACTGGTGAGATCCTGGGAAACGCCCCCCTCCTTCCTGAAGGTGTTTTCTAATCAAGCCCAGTTAAGTGGGTCTCGACCACCTGTACCTACATCACAACTGCTGGAATGTGTGATTCACATGCAACTGATACCAAATCCCTGCAGCAAGGGACTAGATCTCGGGAGATGTGAAAACCTCCCCAGACGATTCTGGTATCAACAGAAGGTTGAAAAGCCCTGGTCTCCACCAGCTTGCAAAGGGCTAATGGTTTGAGGTAGGGAGGTGATTTGCACTGGCCACTCTGGGGAGAGAGCTTTATCCTCGGACGGCTGACTGAGGGGACCTGCCACTCTGCTTGTCCTGCAGCATCCTGGGACTTCTGTGAGGTGACTGCCTCAGGACCAAGGAGAAAGCAAAGACAAAGACACTGGGTCAGCACCCACCAAGCCAGGAGCCAGCCTCCCTCTGAGGTTCTTGTTAGGTAAAATAAAACAATAAAAAATCCCTTGCAGGGTGAAGACCGAGCTGGTCTGTCCCATGCAGCTGAGCACAGGTGCAGGGAAGAAGGCTCAGGGTGTTTACAGACAAGTTAGTAAGATGTATCACAACCCATAGAAGGCTCTGGCAGATGCCAAACTACAGCCCAAGTTCCAGCAGTTATCACAAAGTAAATGTTCACTCAAGTATGCTACATGCCCAGGCTCGGTGATGGGGCAGGGGTCAGGTGCATAAGACCTTCCTTTGGCTCTGTTAAGGGTTTTCTCCCTGCGACCTCAGGACCTTTGCATGTATTAGCCCTTCTACCCAGAAGGCTATTCTCAGCCTACCTCATTCATTCCTGCTGTAACGCTTTGTGTCTCAGCTCAAGCATCACTTCCTGAATTTTGCTGAACTGTGGCTCCTGGGACGATGTTCATCCTAATGTCCATATGGCATAACCATACACCAAGGACTGTGTCGAGCAGTGTAAATGCATCATGCCAGTTAAAATGGAAATAACTCTATGGAATAATATCAAACCAGGTGTGTGACTTCAGCGATTCCCATCTTTTTTTTACCTTAAGCAGAGTTTTGAAGGTGTGCGCCTTAGGCCGTCTGCAGTTTACAGCTGTAATGACCCAGGGCTCTGAGTTCCTAGTTGCCACTGTGTTTGGAAGAGACCAATTGTATCCGTGGTCCACACACCAAATCTCTGTGCTGGTGACCCAGGGGCAACTGGGATAACTGGGTACCTGACTACTGCACAGGAGCCTGTGCTTGAATGCAAGTAGGACTGCCTGAGCCAACCACACTTAAGATCAGCTGAGTCACCTCCTCCCGTTATGCAGAAGACTGACATACCTGGTGATGAGGAAACACAATGGTCCCCAGGAAGGGTAAGGGTGGGCATAGGTACTCACTGGCATTGTGGTGTGGGGTGCCCCCTCACAGATGCCATGGCACAGAAGAAGCTTAAACTGCTTCATGGGGAAATCTTGTCACTGTTGCCTGTCTTACTGCTGTTGCCATTTGTCCCCCAACCCAGTAAGGTATAATAGACCCATCCTTGAAAACTGGTGGTTCAACATATTACAAAAAAAATTTTTTTAAAAAATAGTATGGGTTATTTTGTTCTTATTCCCCCATAGGACACCAGAAGAGGTTTCTTACTTCATTTGACGTTATCCACCCGGGCTGATAGGCCTGGAACACGGGTGGAGGCCCAGCCCCGCTGAGGATACTGCAGATGCCCCAGAAACAGGGGCCACCATGCATGACAGAGGCCACCTGGGGCTGCCAGGAGCTTATCAAGGGAGCATTCAAATAAAAGAAAGAAAAATGATCAGGGTCACAGAGGTGACCCCCTGCCCAGTCCCCAAAAAGATTTTATTTAAGAGAAAAAAAAGGTGGGGGGGGAGATGGACAAAGGGACTATGAGTACTGCTGACTAGGGTCATCCAGGAAGAGGCTGCTGCCGCCTGCTGCCGCCTGCTGCCCCAGGCCCTTCCCAGCCAGCCCTTAAAAAAAACAAACAAAACAAAACAAAACATCAGGAGACAAACTAAAAACCCGGACTAAAAGTAGGGAAAAAAGGTGGGTGGGGGCTTTAAACCTCATCTACCAAGCAAATGCCAGATCTAGCAAACATTAAACTAGTTCTAGACTATTCACTGATTTAAAAACAGTAACAAAAAACAAACCCCTGGATATGGGGGTGGGGGGTGAAGAGGGAGGAATAAAAGGTAAATAAAACACAATACAGTATGTAACTAAATTAACACTGTCTATAACTTGACCCAGCTGGAAACCCAAAATTTATATTAAGTTTATATAATTTATATAACAAATATATATATGATAATTATGTACAGCATAAGTATTAAAAATTTGTATGCTAAAAGTGTTGTATTACAAAAACAAAACAGGGCACTGGTTGGCTTTTGTGCCTATGACATAGATTCTAAATTTAAAATTTACAAGCTTCATGAACTTAATACTAGGGCTCAAATCATAGTTATAGCTGGGGCACAATTTAAACATTGTACTCCTCAATCTTAAAAAGCAACTAAATAGGAAAAAAGGTACGCCTCACTTTTCAGCCTTGCATAAATTTCCCAGTTATAGTGCCCACTGCCCCAACACATCCCAATTTGAGCATGGATATTTGGACACAATACATCATTAAAATGAGGTTTTGGCACTTACACACTGGCTAGAAACATGAGAGCCCACAGACCCTACTATAAATAGTTAATAATGGTTCAATGTAAGCTGAAAAAGAGCATTTGGGGAGTAAAAACTATGTAAAACCAAATAAATAAAGGGGAGATTATGCTCACTGCCCTGTTTGACAGCCCAGCTGTGCCCAGGAAAAACGAAGGGCACCAGATGGTGAGTTGCTACAACTGGAATACTGTGGTCCTATCCACCAAGGTCCCCATTATGGATTGAATTGTGTCCCCCTAAATTTCACGTTAAGCCCTAACCCCCCCCCCCCATGTGATAGTATTTGGAGACAGGGCCTTTGAGGAGGTAGTTAAGGTTAAATGAGGTCATAGGGTGGGGCCCTAACCTGATAGGACTGGTGGCCCTAGAAGAGGGGGGGTTCTCTCCCAGCCACAGAGGGAAGGCCATGTGAGGACATAGCAGGATGGCAGCCAGCAGGACAGGTCATCAGAGGCAGCTCTGCTGGGACCGGGTCTGGGACTGCCACCCCCAAAACTGTGTGAACATAAATGTCTGTTGTTTAAGCCACACGGAAATGGCTGCCAGAGCTCACTAATGCAGTCCACAAACCCAATATTCAACATTAGTAAAATCAGTAACCACCCAATCAACAACCAGCAATTATTTTGTGCTTCTAGATTTGGCTGATAGATCCTGGTCAGCTCCTATTTCAACAGCAGCTCAGCCAGTCTTCTCCACGTCTAAAGAGAACAACCCTCCTTTCCCAGGCTACCCTGGGACAGCTCAACAGCTCTGCCATCGAGCCCAACCCTGGCAGACCAGACCTCCTTTACAGGGTTACACGGATGATGACCTTGCCCAAGGAAACTAGTTTTAGATAACAGTACTATTAAATGCTATTTAGGTCTTGTGGCAATATATTCCTCATTTATAAATTTTACTGCATCTCACAGATACTGAGACTTACAAACCAGTCCCCCTTAATTGGGGCTCCCTGAAGCAAAGGCTCTAAAATCGGTTCAAAATACCATCACCCCCATTAGTGGCCTCAGTGCCTCCCTCCTTCACTTCAGTCACCGACTGGCTCTTCTGCCTCCTGGAGTCTCTGTCACCTCTGAATGCTCTAGGTGGTCCAAGGGCTTTGATGGGAAAAGCCGCACCCTTTGGCCTCCTGCTATACACCTTCGTAACAATGACTACTGACACACCAAGCTTTCCTGAAGAGAAAGGCTCTCACAGACCCGCAGTAGTGAGTCTCCACACCCAGGGCCCATGATGATTCCTGTCACCAGCATGGCACAGCTCCTGAAGCCTCAGCACAGACACAGGGCAGAACCCAACCCAGCCCTCGGGTACGGTCTCCTGCAGGTGGTATGGCCTCCCCACTGCTTAGTCCCTGCCATTAAAATAAAAGGAGCATCTTTTGTTACTTATAACAAGGCCCATTTCTACCACAGCTGAATTCATGTTCATGTTCATGAGGTGATTTTTGGAAAGTTCCTAAGGACAGGGGCTAGATGCCAGAAGACATCTGGTCCCCTGCCAGAGGATGTCAGCTTCCACAGACAACCCTAATGAAGTGGTTTGGAGCAGTACCAGTTGGTAAACACACTGAAGTAAGGGGAGGATGGGAAGCCTGCCTCTCTTCCTTATGGCTGCGTCTGAGCTGCATCCTTCATAATAACCAGGTAACACTAAGTAAGGCACTTCCTGGCTTCTGAGAACTGTTCTTGAAAATTATTAAACGTGTGTAAATTTATAGTCAGCTGCTCAGGGTGAGTGACAATGGACTGTGACTGGCATCTGAAATGGGTGGGCAGGAGTCAGAAAAGCTACCTTATGAGACTGAGCCCCTACCTTTTAAATTTCAGGAACTTAATGTCAGAAGTATTAAATAAAAAAAGAGGTTTCTTCCTTTTTACACACACACACACACACACACCCCTCCTTTCAGCACACCTCACGACTTCACTGAGATGTGAAGACACCCCCTAAAATTTCAGATTGATTTTCTTGGCTAATGCTATATAAATGGGAAACTTAGCTATGGGTCTCCTTCAAGGACTTCTTATACTGTATCTATTTGTGTTCCTCCTTTTCGCTTGCAGAATAAAACGTTTCTCTGTATTCTTTAGGGCAACTTATGCCATACTTTGTAAAAATCTCCATTATTATCACCCCAAAGTTTCCTTAATAGGACGTGAAAACACCAGAGGACCAATTATTTAATCATTCCTTTAAAGAAATTTTCAGTTTTACAGTGTTCTGACATTTTAAGAGTCTTACCCTTACCCCTTGCAGGGCTAATACCTACCACAACTTACTGGACAGCACAACTTTCATATGCAAACAACCCAAAGCCATAACCTTCCTACATCCAGCTAGCATTTCCCCTGCTTGAGTGAACCAAGACCCAGCTTCCAGGAACAGCCCTTACTGCCCCAAAGCAGGCTGGAAATAACCCAATCAGCCAGCCCAGAGCTGTTAACCTGCCCCGTCTTCCCTTTCCCACAGAAACCCCCATAACTGCTCTGGGCCCTGCTTCCCCACAATCATAGCTTCCTCCAGACCAATACTGTGCTTACCCACGTGGCTCTGGGAGATGTGTTGTGTCCCCATCTCTCAAGAGCTGTGATCAATTCTCCTTTCAACAGCACTAACTTCTCTGTGTCACCTGTCACTAAGTCACCTCCATAAACTGAAATCCTTTAGGTACGAATTAACACGGTGGGGATGCTGTGGGAATTAAATGAGTGGAACGTGAACAGCGTTCAGAGGACCTGTGCTGACGGTTAGTTGCTTTCTTTTGTTTTCTTTTTGACAGATTATGCCCTGGCCAGGTAACTCAGTTCGTGCGAGTGTCATCCCGGTTGCTGGTTCGGTCCTTGGTCAAGGCATATGCAAGAATCAGTCAATGAATGCATGAATAAGTGGGACAACGAATCACTGTTTCTCTTACTTTTTCCCTTCCTCGTTCTCGCTTAAAAATAATCAATATATAAATGTTTTAAAGAAGACTTTATTTATTTTTAGAGAGAGAGGAAGGGAGAAAGAGAAGGAGAGAAATATTGATTGGCTGCCTCTCACACATCCAAAATTGAAGACCTGGCGCACAAGTCAGGCATGTGCCCTGACTAGGAATTGAACTTGTGACCTTTCAGAATTAATGATCAACCCACTGAGCCACACCAGCCAAGGATTAACTGCTTTTCTTAAAAGCAACCTACTTTTTCATTTTCTTAGATTTCTTCAAGGAAGGAATCTTGCATGGCTCTGGCAAATGGGAAACCCAGAGTCACTTCCTTTGATGGCAGATCACTGTGAAAATTCACCAATGAAATCAGAACAATGTTATTAAGTCCCAGTAAGCTCAAGCTACTCCACAGGGCTGCCAGCCTGAGGCTACTCTGTCTGTTGAAATGGGGAAAGTGAAGAAAGTGTGTTAAGATTCAGCAACAAACCCAAACTTGCCATCAAACAATTAGGGGGCAGGGCGGAGAGGACACAAAGACGTGGCCTCCTTAGGGTACTCTCAGGGCCAGATGTCCTGTGCCACAGGGTTGCCAGCCTAGCAGGACTATTTCACTGTAGAAAACTCTCTGCCAGGAGATGGGCAGGTATCAGTCCTGCCCACTATATCAAGGTGTATCCACATCCCAGATATAACCACCAGAAATATCTCCAGACAGTGCTGAGTTTGTCTGGGGAGCAGATCCTAGGGAGAAGAGTACTGGTAGAGAAGGGTATAAGTAGAATGAGGAGAGAGTAAGTGGGATGGGGGAGAGTTTCCACCAGGTCTGGGTCAGGACACAGCACTGAGGAGGTGGGGACTGTGAGAGGGGGTGGCTGCATGAAAGGCTGTAGTGCCAACACTTCCAGGCAGACAGACAGCAAGTGCACAGCAAGTGTGCCTTGGGATGACGAGCTGGAGCCAAGCTGGAGCGAAGAGCTTGGGGAAAGCATGTGAAGCAGGGCCAGACTGGGGACCCTTTATTTTAAAATGCTTCGTGGGGGAAGGAGGGAGGTGAGTGGAGGTGGAAGGGGGTGTAAGGGGGATAAATGGTAATGGGAAAAAATATAATTTTAAGAAAGGAAACTAAATTAAAAATTTTTTTCATTAGAAAATATTTAATCTATCAAGCTTTTCTAATTTTGCTTTACTTCTAATTGACAAAATATTCTTCTAGTTCTTCCAGTAAAAACAGGCATGCCCTGCCCCAAGCCCTGGATTCTCAGCCCTCCCTTCCCTCGAGCTGAGTGGTCCACGTGATTATCTTCCAGCACAGGACCACCTAGGCTGGTGTTTCTCAACCCTGGCACTCTTGACATTTGAGTTGGATGATTCTTTGTTGAGGGCGGCTGTCTTGTCCGTTGTAGGATGTAGTAGAATCTCTGGACTCTGCCCACTGGATGCCAGTACCACCCACAACCAGCAGTGACAACCAAAACTGGCCACTGACATTGCCAAATGTCTCTTGGGGGACAACACTGGCAACTGTTTAGAAGCACTGGGAACTTAAGGAAGTAAGAGACCATCATGAAGATATAAGAGCATAAAGAAGGCCCAAGACCAAGACCTGTGTTAAGAATAACACCTGGTGGCAAGAGGGCAAAAGCCTCCTGGGGACCTGCTTGACTCACCCTGGGAAGAACATCCCATCACTCAGAGCCCTGGCAACTGCCCTGTAGGGGACACTGGGGCCAACCAGACTCACCCAGTCAGATCCCTCTTTGGAATATAAGATTAGGAACCTCCAACAGAGGACAGTCTGTGCTGGGGGTGAGAAGTCCGGGGGAAAATGGGCTCAGCGGCTATTGCTGCCTCAAAGATGCCCCCGAGAGCCAGCAGCAAAGAATGAAAAACAACATAAAGAAGTAAAAAAGGAGGGGCAAAGAATCTGGGGGCCACAGAGAACAAGGACTGAGGTGGCCAAGCCTGTCACAAACTCCCTAAGCAGAAAAAGCCATTCTGAATAGCATAACATAAGTGGACCCAGAGACAGAAGCCAGGACAAGAGACCCAGAAGCCAGGGCAAAATCTGGTGGTTCCTAGTTCCTACACCAGTCCCGCAAGGGCCCTGGTGGGTTCTGCATAATGGAGTTGTGTACAAAACCAACCTCTGGGTCCTGCACAACACCACTTTTCCTTCCATCACTTTCTGGAATCAAAAGGGATACTATGTTTCCTGCCCAAGAAACACAGGGAGACTAGGCAAAAAGATGTGAATCTAGGAAGTGATTGACGCTGTGGGGAGGAGGAAAGAGGGCTCCTGAGACCTTCCTGACCACTGCGTCTGGAGCCAGAGGGTGGAATAAGGAAGTGGCAGGTGACCCCCACATGGCAGAGGTGGGGAGGACTCACCCAGAGACACTAGGAGCCTGCAGGTCTCCAGCATCACCTCCTGGTATAGAGTCCTCTGGGCTGGGTCCAGCTGCCCCCACTCCTCCTGGGTGAAGGTCACGGCCACATCACTGAAAGTCACAGACACCTGGAAAGTCAAACAGAGGGAGCTGAGTTAGCCTTGGGGCTGCAGAATTGGATCAGCCACTATCTCTGCGTCACAGTAAAGATGCAGATATCAAGGCCCAGAGCCGCAAGCACCTCTGAGGGCTGAGCTCTGTGCTGGGCTCAGGGGGAGGTGGACAATGCTTTGGACATAATACAACAGTGCAGGAGAAAAGCCTCTGCAGGAGCCATTGTTAACTGAGACAAGCTAATGGAAATGACACGTAGATTGTGAGAGATAGACAGCAAGGGCTGGAGGGATTCAGAAGAATGAAGAAATAATAATAATATCAGTAATGGTAATAACAGATGTGCCTGAGCCTCACTGATTCTGCAACTGCCTGCCCCATGCTGAGGGTTCCACTTCCTGGTTAAAGGGACTGAAACTCCCTAGTTCTGTCTCCTGTGGTTTCTATTCAAACTGTTTTTGATTTATTGATTTTAGAGAGGAAGTGGGGGGCGAGAGAAACACTGCCTGTTGTTCCACTTATTTATGCATTCACTGGTTGATTCTTGCACTTGCCCTGACCCAGAATTGAACCTGCAACCTTGGAGTATCGGGACTATGCTCTAACCAATTGAGCCACGTAGCCAGGGTCATTTACACCAACTTTTGCTGTGAAATCCGTTTCGGTCACCCCTAAAAATATATCTGTGAGCACGGACAGAGAAGCAGAGCTTCACCAGACTTCACAGGAGAAACACCTGAAGGGGCAGCACCTACCTGGGTAAGGTCCAGACCTGGGCCAGTGCCCCACACCCCATGGGTCTCCTGTCTCCCAGGGAGATTCCACAACAAATCATTAGCCTCTTTCCCTTCCTGAATCCTGAATGAACTTATCCCTGGGGCCAGGCCACTTCAGGACCAGGGAGCACAAACAGTGACCACGAGAAGAGCCTTGCCAATGTCTGTCCTGGCTGAAGTTGGTGACCCCCTGCACACAGGCTGCTACTGTGACAAGAGGAGCCTTGGACTGGTCAGTGACTGTTGCAGCTGAGGATGGGTGACACCCTGCACTGTCATCCTCCTAAACCTGCCTCAGCAGGTGCGGGAATCAGGGCCACCCCCCATCCAGGCCCTCCTTAAACAACCCATACACCTGGCCTTTGTCCGTGCACTTCTGCCTGGAAACCCCCAGGTCTACTCTGGCTCCTTCGTCCAAGGTCACCAGTTGGACAAACAGCTGACCCGGGGCGAGCCCCTGCAGGATGCAGTGGGGATTTGGGATTGACAATGGGAGCCCTAGACAAGGGATCACCCATTCTTAAAGCAACTCAGTGACCACCCGTCAGTGGCCCAACACCGTTTAGGACTGGGGACAAATTAAGTGACAACCCAGATCTACAGGCTTCGTCAAAGCCGGCGGGTGTCCCGGCTCCCAGCCCCTCAGCTCCGAAATCACGGCCAATCACCTGCACCTGGCGGGTCGGCGACGCCGCCATCGTGAGACCCTGGGGAGGCGAGCACAGGCGACCTCGGCTGACCGTTGCACTCCGGACCACAGTGTCCTCTGTGGACAGGGCGCGGCCCTCGGCGACGGCGGGGATGAAGGACGAGCGCACAGGCCCTGGGGAGGCCGCGGCCCGAAGGGCGGCCAGCGGAGTCACGGTCGGGACACACGCTCGGAGATGAGGTCGACCCGCCTCCCCTGCTCGGCAAGGGGAGCAGACGAAAGGCGCAAAGACAGGAGCCACTGGCGTCTGCCAGTCAGGGACACCCGAGACCTAACCGCAGGGGTAAATGGCGTCCACCGAGGAAAACCCAGAAGTCCCGCCCACGTACACGGGCCGCCGGAAAAGCCCCTGTTCCGGAGCGTCTTTGACCAATTCCCGCCTCAGACGCACGAAGCACAGCCTTCTGGGTAACGTAGTCCTCCACACCACTGTATCCAAGGCCGCGCGGAGGGTGTTACCCAGGAAGTCATTCTTCGCGTAAGAGGCACACTAGCTTAGGGAATTGAAAGGAAATCGAGGCCCTGGAGGCAGAGAAGTTCGCCCTCTTCAGGGAAAGTGTAAAGGCGCGGGGTTGGGGCCCGGGCTCGCCTGGGGACTTACCCACTCGTGTTACTCCCTTTCCAGATTTTGTTCAGGACAAAAAGTAGTTTAAAAACCTTCCTGAGGAGGACGCCGGAAGTCCCGCCCCCATACGTTGTTCACTCCTTTACTGAGCTCTAGTGGAACTTGTTTGGATCAGAACTTCCTTCATGGGATGCATGAATTTAGGAGCCACGCAGTTGGGCCGGAGTCACTCGAAGAATGAATTTACCATCCCCTGAGGTGGGGAGGTCCATGTGGAGGCGGCCTGGAGGAAAATTCAGGACTCCTGTCTCCAGCATGGTCAATTCTAGATGTCTGAATCCACAAAGTGTCATGTGAGCATGTCAACCTACGACAACATGGGGAGAGAGTTGGAGCCTGGATATCTAAATTTGGGAGTTATCGAAAACTTATTTCAATTCATGACTTTAGACAAGACTATCAAGGGGATGAGCGTAGACTGGAGACAATGGACAGAACATGAACCCTGGACTAACCCCCGCTCCCGTAAAGTGGCTGAAGACAAGAAACCAACAAACAAGTTAGGAATTCTAACATCCGCCCCAGAATATATTTAGTAATCTTAGAAGTCACCGTTGGTGGGTTCTTTTTCTTAAATAATCGTGGAGCGAAGAGAACGAGCCGCATCTTATGATTTAAAGATACATATGGATTGAGAAATGGAATCAGGGAGTGCAGAAAATGCCCTTAAGAGATTTTATTTTTATTTGATTTGATTTTATATTTTATTTCAAATTCTCAGCTGAGGGTATGCTTATTGATTTTTAGAGAGAGAACAAGGGAGAGAGAGACATTTATGGGAGAGAGAGACATTTATGTGAGAGAGAAACATTACCCCCCTCCTTATGTATATGCCCCAGTGGGGGAATGAACCCGCAACCCAATATGTGTCCTGACCAGGGATGGAACGCACAACCTTTTTGGTGTATGGGATGAAGCTGCACTCAAGTGAGTCACCTGACCAGGGCAAGAATTTATTTTTTTAACAATGATTAAAATAAAATAAAAAAAAAGAATTTATTTTTTTAAGATGTGAGAGATGTGTGTTGACAGAATGTTAACTAGGTCAAGAAATGAAGAGTACCAATCAGAGTTTTGTAAGAACTAGTAGAATATATATTTTACTAATATATATGTATGTGCATATGTGCACATATATGGGCATGTATATGCACGCATATATTTATGTCTAGTGTATATGTGAGAGATTTATTTCAAGGAATCATCTTATGTTTGTGGGCCTGGCAAGGTCAAATCCATAGGGTAGAGGGCAGGCTGGAAACAGTCAGAGCTAATGGTGCAGTCTGGAGGCTTAACTTACTGTTTCTCTTAAGGCCTTTCAACTGATTGGATAAAGCCCAACTATGTTGTCAAAATCAATTGCTTAAAGTCAACATTTCAGATGTTAAGCATATCTACAAAATACCCTCACAACAGCATCTAAGTTAGTGTTTGATCCAATAATTTTGTAGTGTGTAGCCTAGCCAAGTTTATACCTAACTCCACCCCTTGTCAACTTGGCACCCATACACAGATCCTTAAACCGTACTTCATCTCCAAAAATAAGATAATGAAAAAGATGTACTTCTGTTTAACCAGATAGAATCTGGCATTGATCCATTATTATGATGAATCATATTACATATGATGAGCATAGTATGATCCAGTTGGATCTATTAATCTAATGTTATTTCATATTGGACTGCAGTGATTGTACTTGTGGCTAACAAAGAAATTTGATTAGGGCTTTATATCTTTGAGAAAAGAAAAACAATTAAATACTATATAGCCACACATATTATGTATGAAAATCAGTCAGAACAACAGAACTTTCAGAGGTTAGGGGTTATTTTTCCACTTCATAGTCTATATAACTCCTCCCTATGCATTTCCTTCCATAAAGCTTGATGACTAACTACACCTGCTTTCCTTGCAGCTGCAGGGAAACAGCAAATAGTTTCTATTTCTTATCTTGCAGACTCTTTTCAGAAGTTTAAAGGGCCCTTCAGCTTGTAAGAACAATGTGGAAGGACATTTTTCATGTACTGGTATGAAAATGTCTGTACCAGATAATGTTAAGAAAAATGCCTAAAGTCTAAGACTAAATACATTATGTTACCTTTTGGCTAATAAAGGGGAAATTTTTAAAGGTACATTGTCTCTGCTTAAACAAAAGTCACTCCATTAGGTTACTTGTGAGTCAGGGAATAAGTAGGAATAAAACTTCCCACTACTTACCACAACATTTTGTTTTTGTGCCATATACATGCATTTCCCATTCAAAAAATTTTAATTTAAAAAATCATGGGCATCATCCCACAAAGCAAAAGGCTGCCAATTTAGTCCTTGGTCAGGGCACATTCCTGGCTTGTGGGTTCTGTCTGCTTGCAGGAAGTAATCGATAGGTGTTTCTCACATTGACATTTCTCTCCCTCTTTTTTTCCCTCCCTTCCCCTCTCTAAAAATAAATAAATGATATCTTAAGAAATCCTCCCCAAAATCAATTGCATTGCTTAAAAAAATACACATAATTTTCTAATTTCTAAATTTTTATTTATGACTTTTAGAGAAAGAAACATCAATTTGTTGTACCACTTATTGATGCATTCTTTGGTTGATTCTTGTATGCCCGCAACCCAGGACTGAACCCACAATCTTGGCGTATCAGGATGATGCTCTAACTAATTTGAATTATAAGACCAGGGTACCCTTAGACTATTCTGATTTCTGCTTTGACTGTTGACTCTCAGGTAACCACACCCACCTTGCCTTTGGCAGTTGAGTGCTGCCCTTGGCATCTGCCATCTTAGGATCCAATTACTCCTATTGCATTTAGGTTTTCCAATTCTCATGTCAGGTCTGGCTTACAGAGGAGAAGGATCATGGAGCTCTTCAAGTATGTTGGGGCTTTCCTCACAAATTTATGTCAAAGTATTCGTGAAGGGTACATCTTATGGAGTCACCTAGTGTGGGTAAGTAGGTCTTTTTTCAAATTGGGTTTATGGGGGTGACATTGGTTAATAAAATTATATAGGTTTCAAGTGTACGATTCTATAATACATCATCTGTATATTGTGTGTTCACCACCCCAAGTCAAGTGTCCTTCTATCAACATTTATTCTCTCTTTACCCTCTTCTACCACCCCTCATCCTCCATTTCCTTGGGTGATCACCATACTGTTGTCTGTGTCTATGAGGTTTTTTTTTCTTTGCTTAATCCCTTCACCTTTTTCACCTAGCCCTCTGTGAGTAGGTCTTAAGTGACAAATCCACTCTAACACTCAAATCCCCATAAGTTTTTGAATCCCTTCCTCTACATTAAACCACAGAAGGTTGAGTATTTCCAATGTGCTCACAGTGGGCCGTCTTTTGGTCTGTGGTTCAGCCAACCAAACAAACTGTTAGAGTCCTTTCTGACTCCTTGAGCTGCAACATTAGATGAAGAATCTCTGCTTTGTGAGCACATATCAATTGATTCAGCCTGATCCAACTTTATATTCTTTTCACCATTATCCCACATACTAATATATCTGTTCTCCAGAAAACCTGAGTAGTTCTTTTGGAGTTTAATGCACCTCCTCACGATCACACTTAGTACCTCACCTTTAGGGGCCTGCTGGGACCAGAGTCTAGTTACAGCTAAAATCAAGGTGGGGTTTGAGGAGTGGGTCCTAAGGAGGATCAGCATTGTCTTGCTTGGCAACTGCCTCAGGGCACTGGAATGCTATTACTGTTTCCTCAGGCAATGCAGTGTTAACTCCCTCAGGTGTGGAAAGGCAGATACCAATGGGCGTGGAAGGGTGGCTTCCACTGTGGGAAGAGAGACCTTGACCACTGGCCAAAAAAAAAAAAAAAAGATTCATCACCGTATAGGGCTTCAGCCCTGGCTGGGTAGCTCAGCTGGTTAGAGAATCATCCTGATACACCAAGGTTGTGGGTTTGATCTCTGGTTAGAGCACATATGAGAAGCAACCAGTGAATGCATAAATAACTGGAACTACAAATCAATGTTTCTGTCTGCCTGTCTCTCTCTCCCCTGAGATTCAAGGGCCCCTGAGATTCTTTTGCTGAAACTTTTTTCCTGAGCCCACTTTTTAATTTTTTTTTAATTTTATGGTTTTATTAACACAAATACAATGTGTACACAAACTGTCTATTCATTTTCACACTTGATCTTAGCCAAAAGGCCGAGAAGCAATGTCTATTCATTTTCTTTGCTGCACAGCCTGGCATTGGGATTGGTGACTCTGATGGCCAGCTGGTCTGCTCTTTCTACAATGGCTTTTTGGTTCTTTGAGGAGATGTTGTGAGCAATCCCAGCACAGTAAGATTTATTGCACATCAGCAGCACTTCAAGCTCCTTGGCAATGTGGACTGGGAGCTTCCAAAAGCCACTGGGCAGCATGTGGTTTGTTTTCTTGTCCCTGTCATAACCAAGGCTGGGCATTAAGATCTAGCCCTTGATCTTCTACGTACCCTATTGCTAGTGCCTCTGGGTTTCCACCAGTTCCACTTAATTTTGACTTATCAGTCTGACTGGTGCCAGATAAACTTCTTGGTCCTCTTTTTGACAATGTTGGGTTTCATGAGGTGTCTGAGGGCAGCCATGGTGCCAAGGAGGAGACAGCTGCCACCTCTGTAGGCAGTGTGCAGGAAGAGAGCCCATTCCTCCTTTGGCTCACTTCTTCTACCTCTTTGACTTTCTAAATA